AGTGTCGTTATGAAGGTTAAACAGTAAAATCTTTAAATTTTGAATGCTACAGTAGGGTAATTGAGAATAGCTTTACAAAATAATGTGTCTCGTGAAAAAATTAGCCACTTTAGCATGTCGGTGCTTTATGACCAGATAATACTGTTGGCTGCTTTATTTTAAAGGAGCAGACCTCGATAGGTATGCTAATTTTACTGAAAACTTTCAAAATGTATTTTAAAGTAAAATATTGTGAAGTTACCAAAAGGAAGCAATTTACACATAACTAACAGCACTCACAATCCATGTTAATTACCAAAATGAGGTCAAAATGTTCATAAATAGCCTTTACTGCATTAGTAACGTAGTAGAAATATGGTTATAAATACTGAGAAAATCAATCATTAATCGCACAATAACATGTAAAATATTACTTAAATCTTGAATCTTTTTACTTTTCCTAAAGTCTTAGTACATTTTTTTCGTAGGTTTGATTTTATTAAAATATTTTGGCTCATATGAAGGCATGCAGCTTTAAGATTTATATATATATGTAAAAAAAAAAAAAAAATGGCTCAAATTAACAACCAATAATTCCACATGGACAAGTCCATTACACAAATTTAGCATGGTACATTGTAAGTGTGAATTTAATCATAATGTTGTCTTTAAGTCAACAATTCAGCAGCTGTAGGAAAACATAAACCACACATTATCAATATGGTTTTGTTATTATCTGAATGTTGATTGTTTACAAAATCTGTGTCATATAATGCTAGCAGCTGTTCCCACCTTTATAGTATTGATATGTCGTTCTCATTATTTATGATGAGATTACGAGCATAGTACAGAAGAAACAATGTGACAGAGTTTTCGATTCACACAAATTGCCGTAGTTTCTTTAGTGGGCTAGTACAGTCATTTTAATACAACAGAGTTTTTGATTCACACAAATTGCTATAGTCCAAAAAAAAAAAATTCAGGCAACTTCTTCTCTGAACTGTCTAGAGGGGATCATCACAAGTGGTGTTTTTGTAATGATTGGCTGTTGTTTTTTGTTAACTCTGTTTGTTTGTTTGGATTTTACGGCACGTCAACACATAACTGGCCATATTGTGCCAAATGCTATAAAAGGCTTAAAATTTTATGTAAAACTTCATAAATGACAATAGAAACAAGTTTGCTTCTTTAAAAAGAAGCATGCGAGAGGTCTTTTTGCTGCTGTGGAAAATTTGTTTAATTCGAAAATATTTGGGGATATTTTTGCATAATGTCTCAATGAATGTTTATAAATTACAATTATTAAACAAAATAGAATTTATTATATAAATTATATTGCAATGAAAGTTTGTTTTACATTTCATCTTTTTAAATGTTTTAAAAGATTATATGCCGGAGAAATGGACTATTTTTCTTGGCGCATTAGGGATACTTTTTCTACAAAAAAATGTAAAATTACTTAATGTAAATTAAATGATATATATCATTTATATTTGTATTTTAAATTCAGTTCCCTTTGTAGAAAAATTATATATATATATTAAAAGTATTTTCAAAATAAAAGTTTCTTGTAAAGTTCAATAAGCAAATTTTCGGTCACTGTTTTGTTAAATATAAGGAAGCATTTCCTCTACATTTTCCAAAACGAGTATAAAGTATGTTAATCAAACAAGTTTACATAAAAAATGTTGATATCATTTGATTGGAATAAACAGTAAATACTGTTATATACTGTTATACTGTAAACAGTATATAAAGCTGCATGCCTCCAACCACAATATTAGAAGAAAATCAAACTTGAGATAACATTTGTGCCATTTGCGCCAAAAAATCTCCCTTTGCGTTATTTAGATATACCGGTTCAATACACGGTTCACTCGGTCATATAATGTTTGTTTGTTTCATTGTACGCCTTTTTCCAACAGTATTTTAGTCATATAGGCGGGTAGTTTCCTAACCATCGTTCCTGGAGAGTTACACCAGTACTAGACAACCTTCCTCCGCGCTAAACTAACAAAAAAAGCATCTCCCGGGGATCGAACTCACGCCAGAGAGTTTACTGGATTATTAGTCAACGACTCTAACCCCTCGACCACGGAGGCGGCATATATAATGCACGGTGATATTGTAAGTATAATGTTCACTGTAACTATTTATCAGACCATGAAATAGTAAAACGTTATTCAGAAAACAATACTGTAATCGATTTATACAGTTACGGAATGAAGCATCCATGCACGTAGTGTTAAGTAACGTAAATGATATTTTCCGATTTTTCTATGTACCGATTTGTTCACTTCGATGTTAATTTTTCGTTTAAGTTAAGCCGTGTTTTGAAACGAGGCATGCGCAAAACAATTTTTGTAGACTGCTCCTAATGATTTTACGCTTAAAATGAGATTCATTCACTGCAATCAGATACGCAAAAATGGATGCCGCCAGCAATCAGTCTGAACACTATGGAGAGGTCTGATGACCTCTCCAATGAACCGATTAGATCCAAGAATACAAGTTTATCTCTTTTTCAAATAATCAATTATGTTTTTTGATGGAATTGTATTAAAAAGTTCTTTGAGTGAATTTACAGAATAAAATCTATTACAGGCTGTTTTGTGTTAGCAAGTCTTGTGTATTTATTGATAAATAAAAACATGAAACTTTTATTAAATGTATAAAATTAATGTTTGTGTGTTAAGTTTACTATAATGCATGCAAATTATAACTAACGAAATAATCACTATTTAAATAGTATCAGATGGAAGTAATATGCACAGACAGGGACAAATTCTAGCTATTTTATTTTTCAAACTTTTTTAAAACTTGTTCACTTTGCAACAGGATTATTAAAATATATTAAAGCTAAACATTGAAAAATACAACTCAAAGGTCAAGGTCACACTTCAGTTTGAAGGTACACAGTCTCACAATTAGAGTTTAAAGGTGCACACAATCTTGTCCAGATTGCATTGAAAGAAAGACCCATCTGTCCCAAGGGTAAGGTCACACATATGTTGTGAAACTGCACAGTCATGTTGTGAAACTGCACAGTCTCACAAGAAGAGATTGAAGGTACACATTAATGTCAGGATTGTAACTTTGTTATGCATTGAAGGATTTTGAAATAACTTTGCACAAATGGCTTTGTCACGTTAAAGGTCCATGCCACTTCCTAAAAGGGCAAGGTCACATTAAGAGGTTGAAGGTTCACATTTGTGCCGGTACTGTAACTTTGTCATGCATTTAAGGATTTTTTTAATAACTTGTCATAAATGTCTTCCACATCAAGATGACTTGTCGCAACCAGGAACCATGTCCCTACCTCCAAGGTCAAGGTGATAAGTTTTCTATGAATAGCACTATATATTAAGCAGATAGTTTTTATTCTATATCTTTTCAAAACATCTTTCTGAAATACTTAAAGAAACCTTTTCAAGGGCATTTGTCACTTTTGCCTGACAGCTCTTGTTTTCAAATGATATGTACAATTAGAAAATTGTTCTGTAAAAACACTATATACAACTGTATAGTTCACATTGAAACCCATATGGTAACACATTCAATATCATTAATGATCCTATTAAGTTTTAATGACAAATTGATATCCAACCCCTATGGTATTTTAACCTCAATCAATGATGTTTTTCCACAATTTCAGTATAATTTCATGATTTCACAACAGAATTGGTGGCTGAATTACCCAAAAATTATCATCTTAACAAACCAGCATGAAATTGGAACAGTTGAAATATTGCGGGTTGGGAAACGAATCAAGATTTTTATAGGGCATTCTGATGTATAGTAAATATTTAGTTCCCTGAAGCCATGTAAAATAGTCTAGACAGTATATTGTATGAAACGTATGCTTGATCAGAATGTTGATATGAGGGACATTAATATCACAATGATTGATTGAATGTCTCTTATATCATACTGATGAAATACATGTATATGCATTATAGCTAAATTGTTTGAAAATCTGGTGCTTTTGTTCCGTCCTTGACAGCATTGCATTTTGTCGGAACTTAATAGGTATCCGAACAGGTTTCCTTGACAGTTTTATAGTGTAGTGCATTTTGTCTGGCCTTTTTGGTATCTGGACATGTTTTCCTTGACAGTTTAGTGTAGGCCACATTTTGTAAGGCCTTTTTGGTATTATAGACATGTTTTCCTTGACAGTTTAGTGTATGCTACTTTTTGTAAGGCCTTTTGGTATATAGACATGTTTTCCTGGACAGTTTAGTGTATGCCACTTTTTGTAAGGCCTTTTGGTATATAGACATGTTTTCCTTGACAGTTTTTTGTTTGCCACTTGTTGAAAGGCCATTTGGTGTATGAACAAGTTTTTCATGACTTAAATGTTAAGTGTATGCCACTTTTTGTAAGGCCTTTTGGTATATGTACATGTTTTCCTTGACAGTTTAGTGTTTGCCACTTGTTGAAAGGTCATTTGGTATATGAACAAGTTTTTCATGACTTAAATGTTAAGTGTATGCCACTTTTTGTAAGGCCTTTTGGTATATGTACATGTTTTCATTGACAGTTTAGTGTATACCACTTTTTGTAAGACTTTTTGGTATATGAACATGTTTTCCTTGACAGCTTAGTGTTATGTTTTCTTAATTTAATGTTTTGCACATAGTAATTAGCCTTTTGATTTATTGACATGTTGGCAGTTTAGTGTATAAAGTTAATTTTTGTTGAAATCTTTTTTTTTCTAATGAAGGCCTAACCTTTAAGATCATGTTAAGCTATGACCATTGCTAATGATAAACATGTGAGCTAGTTATGATATACAAAACAAACAGTACTAGCTGTACCACTGATCCAGTCACGTTAATTGAAAGGTATCCTTTTAACAATTTTTCTTACTCCAAATTTTCATGATTTATATAAAGTGCATATATAAAGTGCAAAACAATAACTGTTTTCTTCTTTAAAACAATGTAATTAAACATTTTTTGTCAGCATTGCATTGAAAGATTAGATTGATGAGTGACGGGACAATTTTTATATATTTTCAGATATGGGATACGGCGGGACAGGAACGTTTCCGGAGTGTTACACACGCTTATTATAGAGATGCAAATGGTATGTTTATGTCATTTGTCTTGTTTAATGATACAGATAATCTGAAAACGTGATTGATAGGTCGGAGGATTTGTTTCATATCCCAGTTTTAGGCGACAAGTAACTCTAGAGAAATGTAATAGTGCTTCAAAATGATCCAGTGCTATTAATCATTATATTTGAGATTCGAACAAATCATTTGTTTTCGTTTAGTAAAACAAAAAAGGAAAAAAAGTATATCCTTAGCCTCTTATAATGAGTAGTTCATACAAAATTTATGGAAGCTATAAGCTTATTGAAACACTCTCCGAATCCGTTCCTGGAACCAACCAGTACTAAGCAATGATTGTAAAGTTTCTTGCTCAAGGAAACAATGGCTTGCCCCTGACAGGGTTTGAACCCATGCGGCTATCAATCCTTAGATTACTAGTCTGATGTGTTAACCACTCTGCCACTCATATATATAATGATTTAAGTAGTATACGGATCTTGCATGGTTATTCTTTTAATGAAATTATTTACAGTAAGTATAATAATAAGACAACATTATGTTTAAAATCAGTCAAAGACACAAATACATGTTTTATAAGCGTGGCATATCATGGCATTTGTGAAAGTCTGTCGAAAGTTCCCGTGCTTGTTATATTATGACATAAACTAACATATCCCCATGGTGATCATTTTGAGACTTACCATTGTACGACGTTGATGTAATTGTAATAAATGGCCCTTGTTTATGTTCTTATGGTTTGATTTTGATGCACATGAATTCCAAACATGGTAAATGCCGCAATATACCACGATTAGTTTCGCTTGAAATATTGTTGAGATGCAAAAATAGAGCTTCCCAGGATAAATTTAACAACTAAAATGATGAAAAATTAATCATTAGCTGTTAGCTTTTTTTCCAATCGAGTAAAGTTTATATTTTTTTCGCTGTAACAGATCTATATATTTATTGTGATAACAGTTGCTGTATTGTGGTATTGGCATCAAAAATCCAGTCACGTATACACGAAATATAGTATCATATGTATGCTGTGAATGAGTAGATAGTTGAAGTTGTACGAATTTCAATATTGTTTCATTTGGCGCATATATACGTATATAAATTCTCACCCCTGTTAATAAGTATGTTAACTTTTAATAGTTAATATATCTAATTGTAGAAACATTGCATCGTAGGCTAATTGTGACTGATTTGTTTTCATTTCCTAAGGTGTGTGATATGAACATCAGACTAAGTTTCAAATATGATGGTACTATGTCAAACAAGTCTATATGTACAAGTGTGCATGACGAAAGATGTAGAAAAGCTCGAAATAAGCCCTCAAAATTTGGTTGTTGGAAACACAGACTTTAAAATTTCATATATTCTCATACATGTATATTGCCAGTATTGTCTATCCGCTACAGGGAAATCAGTGTGCCTTGTCTGCGTTTAAATAATGCAAATTGTATTGACGAAACAATCATTATGCCAGTGCTGACGTATTCTTTGGTAATTCAAGTAAAACTGCAAAACGTCGTTATGAATATTTGATATGTTTATTAACAATATTTTCAGCTTTATTACTGCTGTATGATGTCACAAACAAATCCAGCTTTGACAATATCAGGGTAATGCAACTTTTTTTCTCTCTCACTGTTTTATTTATTATTTGCTGTAAGATTTTATTGTGCCTTTATGATAGCTTAATGTTCACACTATTAAAATATAAAATGAAAATGAAATAAACTACAATCAGGAAATCATTTGATATTGTTTAAGAACAGTGAAAATTACACACATGAGAACTTTGGAAATCTCAAAATATCAGATGATCATTATGGTTTTAAAGAATTTCCTAAAATCCAGATTCTTTGTATTCCATAAAACAGACAATTGTTCACCCATGTTAGAATTACAGCATAATGTTTCATAATTTGATCTCAGATGAGCCATGGATTAGTGTCTGTGTATTTGTCCAAAAGGTTTTGAATGCTTAAAAAGAGACTCTTACTTTCCTAAGCCACAAGTATACTGTATAGAGCCAGCAAGCCTGCATGTCCTTACTGTCCTAACCGGACTTTATTCTGTCGTCTGCTCAATATCGTTTGTTCCTAAGTTTTAGAGTTTTGATATTGAAATTACTTGAAAACCTACCAAATTTCTTAAATGGACTTGTCTGACTTCAATTTATGGAACTGTCCATTATCAATTTTGGGGATATCAAGATAAAAAAATGAAAGCTAATCAGCCAAAAGAGTAGAGTCTGGTCAGACTGCATGGATGTGCAGGCTGATCTTGGTCTAATCATTACTGGAGGGGGTGGGGGAAGGTAGATCACTCTCAGTTCCAGCAATTGAAGGGTTGAACAGCTTAGTCTAGAAACCTACATCAAGGTCTTTTTCACCAGAAATGATTATGTCACTTAAATGCTTGTCAAGTTGATTCTATGCCATGGTTTAGATGTAAGTCACATTAATAAAAGTGAGGATTCCATAGGGATCTTACTTAAAGATCATTTCTGTTAAATAAGAAATGACTTTTGTCATATATAAGAAGACTTTAATATCTATAGTTGTCCTAGGATTTGTGTAAATGGTTCAAGGAAAGTACATTGTGTTTTAGAATGAAATAAGACTTGTCTTTAAGGTTTTTGTGGGATTATGTTTTTTGTGTAACATTGTTATGAGAGAGACACATTGTTAGGTTTTGTCTGGATTGTCATGGAAACCTAATAATAACAATAATAAAATTGTAATAAAAAGCCATGATTTTTTTGTAATATAACATGTGCTAGTCACATCTTGAAATTTTTTATTAAATTTTATAGAAATGAAAATGCTAAGGACCAAATGTGACAAGCCCTTTACCATCATTTTAGAGCCAGATCGACCTGCTCATCTTTGCAGTCTGACCTAGCTCTATACCATTGGTATATACCTATATTAATGTATTTGATACAATAAAAATGATATTGGTGACGAATACCACTTATGTTTTGTAAAACCCTTTCCAAACAAAGAAATTTTTTTATTTTCCCTTAAAAAATCAGATTTCCTTTAAATTCCCTTAAATTTGAATGGACTTTTCCAGAGTCAAAAAGCAGGGAAAATCCATTTAATAAATTCAGCAGGTTAAAGAAATGAAAGTGTTTTCATACAGAGATTTTTCATGAACAGACACATTTCCTTCCATTGACCTTCTAAGTTTAGTTAGTTATGGCAATAATCACTTGCACACTATTAGTTGTTTGCCACCTTAGTGCAGTAATGGGTTAACTCCTAAATTTAACGGGTTAACTCCTAAATTTAATAGAAGTTAACCAGTTATTGCACAAAGGTGACATGCTGTGATGTCAAAATCACATACACGACCATATCCAATTAAAACAGCGTTAATCCATTTCTTAAAAAAAAAAATTGCAATATTGCAGGCAAAGTATTTATATGTGTATCAATTAATTCATTTTTTGCAGAAATGTCAGATTTTATGCATATTATATTAAAAAAATTTAAGTTTTTTTTTTTCAAGAACTTTGAGCTACAAGTCAACATTTCTTGTAAAAGTGCTATCGGTTGATAGAAAATCAACAAAAACTAGTCCATTATATTCTCGGCTGATTTTCCCCGTCCCCACTCAATCATTTATACTTGTTGAGGTAGTTGAGGAGTCATATTTAGCGAGTTATATTCACTTTCGAACCATCTGAGTGCCATTTATGATTGAATATTTATTTTATATTACGAGAATAGTTCTAACTCTTCTTAGAAATTTTCCTTTTGGGAATAATGTCATGCAAAGTTTAAATCAATTTCTAGTTTTAATTTAACGGAGCAAAAAAGCGGAGGGAAATGACATTTTATACTCTTTTAGGGGATCGTTTGTCACATGTCTTACGAGATAATTCACGTTGAAGTATTCTGCGGAAAAATGTCTTGGGGATATTGCGACATTTGTTCGTTGATTGTTGGCCTTTGTATAGAAACCTGATAATGGGCGTTATGGATTTTAATTAACCTTTCTTTCACACTAGATTTATAGATTTATCCTATAGCAAATGTGGCGAATATTAGAAAAAAGCAAGATGATTGTTATATGTATATTGTTGTTGTCAAATATAGTTCTGTTTAGTTATAGATATGTTTTGTTAGACATGTGCCGTTCTGAAATAGTGGCAGAACTCTTTTAACCTTTTACTGCAAGAGCATATTGGGAAAAATGGCGGTTTTCATTGAAAAGCCTGCTTAACTGCTATGAAACTTTAAAAAAATGCTTCAATACTGATCAAACTTGGCACAAATGTTGACTGGACCATAGCCTTTGCAACAGCGTGCTCAATCTTAAATTTCCTGAATTCAGATCAGTTTATTGTAAGTTTGAGGGAAGTCAGTATCAAAATGCTAAAATTGAACAGCTAACAGGGTGGAGCCTGATTAAGACTACATGGATGCGCTGACTAGCCTAGCTCAATAAATTTTACTTGTTGCAATGTTAATATAAGAATATTGCTATATTAATAGATACATAAGATAGGCAATTATGGCTAAATATACATTTGAAATACAAGGAAATAATTTTAAAACTGATATTAAGACATTTAGGTAATAAAGCATTTCAATTTACTTTTCTTAAAAGATATTATATTCTTCAATTCTTGTATTTAATTGGTACATTTGTACATTTAATAATGCTATTTCAACAGACAAAATTAGAAGATTTTTTTTATATCCAATTTCTGTTTTTCATATTTTCCATTGTACTCTATACTGAAATGTAAATTTGTACATTTAATGATGCAATTTCAACAGATATAGAAGAATTTCTTTATCTAATTTCTGATTTTCATATATTCCATTGTACTGTGTACTAAAAGAAGAAAAAATCTCATTAGTTGAACATTTCCTTATATTTATTGGGTTAATTTCATTTCACCATTCAATGATTTTGGCTTAACTAAAGGTCTTTGAATGACTTCATTACAGGCTTGGCTCACAGAAATTAATGAATATGCTCAAGAAGACGTTGTCATCATGTTGCTAGGCAACAAGTCAGATATGGCCAGTGAGAGGATCATAAAAACGGAGGACGGTGAAAAGTTAGCAAAGGTTTGTTGTGATTGTAACATATTTGACGCCTTGAATTTTTCAGGTTCAGCCATTGCAGGGATTTTTCCCCCTTTCTGTAGAAAAGGCTGTTTAAGGGTTGCGTCTTCTTCTGGCAAATTCTTGCAGATTCTGGAAATTATGCAGTTTTCTGCTAAAGTCAATTTTACATCAAATCTTTTATTTCCCTTTTTGTAAAAAATACCATGTTATTTTTGAGCAAATTTAAAGGAAAGGCCTGTTTGCCTTATTGGGAAAAAATTTAGATCGGCATTGTTTTTCGGACATTAAGGAGTATGTAGGAGTTGGATGGGTTTTGTCCACCTTTGTAAAAATGTGAACTGAAAGAAACATAATATTGCATTTAACCTCTAACATCCCATCTGTTTTAAGTTTAATATATTGATTTGATAGAGTAAAAAAAAAGTAGAACAACAATTAATAGAATGAAGAAATCATCATATTCAGAACTTCAGAATATATATTGATACTTATGATAGCCTAAGGTTGTCTTGTTGACCTTTGCAAAGTGTCAAGGATAATTTGTTTCTGACTTTTTTCCAGATTCAGTGCTTTTTAGGGCCTATTTGAGGTTGAGTTCTTCTGTGCAAAAAAGTATATATTAGCTCCCCTATTTCTAACAATATTTCCCCTCCAACTGTACAAGAAATTTTTGAGATCCATTAAGATCCAGATAAGAGTGGGGCAAAAAGGGACATTGCATTATCTGAAAAGAAAATGCTTTTGAATCAAAATTTAGCATGAAAATTTGAGCGGATGCGCAGGCTGGTCTGGATCCATGCTGGTCGCAAACGCATTAAGTTGGTTTTGTCATGACGCGGCTCAAATGATGTTATTTCTGTTTTTTGATTTGCCCTCCTTTAATCTCCCTCTCTACTACACAAATCTCACCTCTCCATGGGCCTTGCCACAATTTCCCTTAATTAAAGTTGGAAATAACGCACTGCACAACCCTTTTTAATATCAACCATTTTAATATCTTAAATGGCCAAGAAATTAAGAGGCTTCTAAATCCATATAACTATAAACAAGTAATCAGTAATGTGTTGATCTTTTTTTTTTTGAAGGAATCTCCTGAATGTAGCTCCTTTAAAAGCTTTGTATCTGCCATTATATCAACAACAAGCCAAGAAAAACCATCCCTGTTCAAAGCCTTACAACATAAAATCTATTTAGAACACTTAGTTTTATGGTAATTTTACAGATTACGCGAGGCATTAACAAAAGCCGAGCTTTTAAAATGCCTTTCAGCCACAACGTTATCATATTTTAGTACCATAATGGTGATTTAATTTTTTAAAGTGATTGGTCCGTTGTGGGCTCTTTTTCACGTGAAAACAGTCAACAATTGCACAACAATTGTATTGGTATCTATCGTGTCTGAAAACGGACCTCGGCTCTGTAATGGATAGCTATATCGTATGATACCAGGTGAAGCAAAAGTTTTTTATTAATTGCCTGTGAGGAAAATAGAAATGATTACTGTATTTTAAGACTGTAAAATAGAGGTGCAATGTGTATTCAATCTATCCCTTGAAACTTGTTCTATTCTGGACCACTTTTGAACACAATCCAAGAAGGTTTTTGATATTTTTTGCGAGTAATTTTTTTTATTTCTATTGTGATTTTGATTAAGTACAAGTGAATGATTGATTTGAAATATTCCTATCGGTAACTGGTACAATATATTTCATTTCCTTATGTATAAATTGCATGGATTCTTATCATTCTTACCTAGCTAGACAAGGACTCAAGAAATGGCAGGACCATTTTAGCAAATGAAGAAGTTAACATTTTAAGTTAATTATCCCCTGCCGAAAGGCTGCGGGTGATATAGAAATAGTCTCCTTCCATCCATCTGTCCGTCCGTCCTTCCGTCCGACATTTTTGTCCAGAGCATAACACAAAAAGCCTTCGAGATATCAACATGAAACTTGATAGGTGGATAGTTCTCACTCAGGGGGAGTGCAGCGCACAAGAATGATAACTCTACCCTGCATAATTTTTGAGTTATTGCACTTTGTTATTTTTCATACTTAATTTTTCACCTGAGTGGAGCATAACTCAAAAAGTGGATTTATCTTATTGAATGCTGTGCACAAGAATGATAACTCTTCCTTTTATAATTTTTGAGTTATTGCCCTTTGTTATTTTTCATACTTTTTGTCCGGAGCTTATCTCAAAAAGTGTTAGAGATATCAAATTGAAACTTCATAGGTATATAGATCTCATTGAGAAGGAGTGCAGCACACAAGAATGATAAACTACCCTGCATTATTTTTCAGTTATTGCCCTTTGTTATTTTCTGCCATCAGTATTCACATAGGTTTCAAATCTGTAATCACTTCAGCCATCAGTTTTCATTACCAAAAGACCTTTTAAAATTGAATAATTCTGCTCTACTACATATACATTCTTCCAATGAGCAAACACATGTGAACATGGCTCTTTGAACACACACGTACACGTATGTATAATTGCATAGACCATATACATATAGTAAAGAACCTGTATAGTTTCAAAGGCTACACCCTTTAAACAGAAGTATAGTAAAAAGATATTTATATAGGTTATGTTTGACCATTTTAACATAATTAAACATGTAATTAAGGACTATTTAAATCATGTGACCTCGAACACCTGTAATTGTGTAGTAAAGGGCATTTTACAAAAGTAGTCACAGACCCTTTAAAATGTTATCAATGAACTTTTGAACATTACTATAGACCGAGAACCTTTTAAAAATTGTTCTTGTGGGCCCTTTAAACATGATTGTAGTCAAGATGTGCTGTCTGATCTTGGTCTACCCTGGTTGCATGGTCATCAGTCACTGCCAGCAGGCAAAGGTTACCGCCTCATTGGTCGAGTGGTTAGAGTCAATGACTTCTAATCAAGTTACCTCTCTGGCGTGGGTTCGATCCCCGGGAGATGCTTTGGTAGTTTAGCACGAAGGAAGGAAGTCTAGTACTGGTGTAACTCTCCAGGAATGATGGTTAGGAAACTACCCGCCTATATGACTGAAATACTGTTGGGAAAAAGCGTAAAATGAAACAAACAAACAAACAAGTTTAAAAAAAATTTACGTAGATGTAATGGTTTTACTGTTTCATTGGCTTTCAGCAACTCAACCTTTTCCAACATATTTTTTTTCCTGCACACCTTGCATTTTGTCACAATAAAATTCATTATTTTTAGTTAGTTTAGTTTAAACATATTTTATTCCTTTCAATTTGTTACAATATGTACAATGCAAATATATAGAATGAAAAATATATAAATACATTTTGAAAGAAAAAGGGTTGGACCACATTATTTTTCTTAAACATGATGCAATTTGTATCTCACTTTCTTTCTGAATTCTAAAGAAAAACTGCTGAATATTGTAATTTTAGAATGAAATTATCTGTTCTGTCTTGATTAGGCATTAACTGTAAAGAATCACCCCAAAGGTGATTAATGACCAACAAGAATAATTGAGATATCTCAAATAAAGTGAAGATTTTTGCTGATTATCTGTGAAATTGCCACAATCAGCACTTCACTGTTTTTCTGTCTTTTACCATTATTAGATGTCATCATGAAGGAAACAGTATTTGAGATAAGCTTTAGGGTAAATCCATCTTTTAACCACATTTTTAGTGACAATGGATTGTTTAAGTTTCTTCAAGAGATTTATTTAAGGTTTATAATAATTCATTATTCAACACCCAGATTTTAAAGATTTTAACAAAAATGTTATTGATATGAGCCGCGTCACGACAAAACCAACATAATGGGTTTGCGACCAGCATGGATCCAGACCAGCCTGCGCATCTGCGCAGTCTGATCAGGATCCATGCTGTTCGCTATCAGTTTCTCTACTTGTAATAGGGTTTGTAAGCGAACAGCATGGCTCCTGATCAGACTGCGCTGATGTGCAGGCTGGTCTTGATCCATGCTGGTCGCAAACCCATTATGTTGAATTTGTCGTGACGCGGCTCATATTATCTCTTTAAAAAAATCAGTATTTCCTCCTTTTAAGATGAATTTGATAATACTGTTAGATGGTTCACATTTGAGTAGAGTTGCATAATATTTTTGTGTGGTCTGTTTTGAATAATTTCATGAAGTTGAAGCGATTTGTGCTATTTGATACCAAATTCATAACAAGGGTTTTTCTTCTTCCTGGCAAGCAGTTAAGGTTGCTGACATGTGAGAGTGGAAATGTCCTTTTATATAGCTTGATTGTTCCCATTTAAATATATTTCCATAGTTAAGTTTCTAAAAATCAAACCCAACTTTTTACGTCTAGAGTGAATATTATTAATTCAACAATCCTCATAACAATGTTTTTTATGCTACATGCAAATTTTAAATATGATGAGAGATTAATATTTGTTTTTTTTCTGCCATATTTACTCCCCGTTGCAAAGGAAGGGGCTCTGGTTACATATTTCAACACATTTCAGGCAATCTTTATAAAATTTCTGTATTCTGCGGTTAATATTACTTTATTCTAAGTGTATTGTAAATCTCAGACAATAATTTAGATAATTGGTGATCATAAGTGCATGAAATTGATATGAAATCAACTTACATTGCTGTCTGAGAAAAGACGAAAATTGTGTCTCTTAAAATAGCAAAAGTAATTCATTTATTTTAAAGTCAAGATAGGAAATTATATCACTTTATATACCCACTGGAAGCAGTATTTTCCAATTACTTATTTTAATTCACCACAGCCATATCTTAATATGAGTCATTCTTTAATCAAAATTTGCTATCAATTTTCCACAGATTTACAGTTTTCTAGTTTTTAGCTCGACTATTTTGATGAATAGAGAGAGGTATTGAACTCACCCAGGCACTGGCATCAAACTTGGGTTAAGTTTTTGCGTGCAACTTGTTAACCCTAAAACTACTGAAGGGAATGGGATGCAACTTCAATCACTTATTTGAGAGCATAATTAGGAGGAAGATGTTCAAGGCCATTAACTCTAACATGAATTTTGACAGAATTATGGCCCTTTTTGAACTTTGAAAATTCTTCATTATCCAGGCACTTGTATTACTATCAGCCATTGAGAATAGTTGAGCTCGCCGTCCTACTGACAGCTTTTGTTCATTGTCAGATTTAGTATGAAGTCTTTGTTGTGACTGATAAAAATTGTCATGAAATACTGTACAATTGTAGGCTGACATCTGTGACTGAAACACCTTAAAAAGGAACTTAATCATTATATGAGCGGCGTCACGACAAAACCAACATAGTGGGTTTGCGACCAGCATGGATCCAGACCAGCCTGCGCATCCGCGCAGTCTGAGCAGGATCCATGCTGTTCACTATCAGTTTCTCTACTTGTCATAGGGTTTGTAAGCAAACAGCATGGATCCTGACTGCGAGGATGCGCAGGCTGGTCTAGATCCATGCTGGTCGCAAACCTATTATGTTGGTTTTGTCATGACACGGCTCATATGTAGCTGTACATATTTCATAGTGAAAGCCATTTTTGCCTATTCTGGATTCTTAAAATTCTTATAAATCTTCATTAATCTTACCAAAATAATTTCTTTGCTAGGATAATTAATTTAACAGTGGATTGTTTGGTCTTAATAAGTATTGCTATACTGTGCACAAGTTTGAGCACACTTGCAGGTCAAGATTTGTTTTGAAGTTATTATTTATCAGTATGAAAACATATTTGTTATTTGATTTATACTGATTAATACAGTGTCTGGTATACAGAGTTATTGTTTAAGTGCTAGCGAGGACATTGATAGACTTACGTCACCAGTCTAGAGCCTGATCAGTTGACATAATCTGAGAAGGCTGACCTGACTTCATATTAACGTCTGCTGCATGATATAATATCCCTGAAATTAAGATTGACTTATAGGTCCAGACTTGAACAAAAATTGTAAGGCAAAGAACTTACTAGTTCAAATAGTAAAATATGTGATTGCTTTTGAAAAACAGAGTAAGTGAATGATCTGAAAATTTGCACACAAGTTATTGATGTGGACCTACTTCAAATGGTGTACATATCTCCAAAGAAATGTTTCCATTCTTGTTCTATCAAAAAACCTGAGTCCCTTAAAAATAAAAAAAATAAAAATCAGAAAAATCAGTTGACTGAGATGTGCAGGCTAGCTTGTCTCTATACTTGTGGCATAGGTCTGTTATTATGGGTGCTGGAGCTTAAAGAGTAAAAATGCTACTATGTGAACCTTTTGGAAAACTTTCATAATGATTTAATGAATAATTATGTATTGTTTAGGTAACTTAATCTTCCCATGTGATCAGTGCAGACCAAGGTCAGCCGTCAAATCCATGTTCACTATTCAGTCAGTACATAATTTGAAAATTTTCACTAAAAATGATGGTTTTGTCCAGATTGAAAGATTGCCATTGAAGATGTTTAGTGTGGTAATTATTATTAATGAAGCAAAATTTCAATAAAATAAGGCATTCCTAATAAAAGAATAAGCGCATGAATGTATGACTTCTTGATTTTCCTTGTTCTTTAATTAACTTAAACATAAAAAGACAATTTTATACTCACAAACTTGTGTTGTACTGTAGAGTAAACAATTTATATTGATTTGATTTCATAATTGTCACATTAAGTAAATGTTTTAGTTTACTTATCGGTATGGAATGCTGTCATAAATGTCCGGAAATTGGTTAATACCGGTAATAGTTTTTTTTTCCTGGACTGTCTGGAGGTAATAATGGTGTCTCCAGAGTTGATGCAACTTTTATATGATGTCCTAATTGTGTCTACAACAGCTGTCTTTCTCAACACTTTAGGACAATAAGATTTTCCTGGTCACATTTATGCAGAAGTGGGTTAACTGTTATTAAACTATATAAGGAGTTAGCCTGTTACTGCACTAAGGTGATGAATTTAGAACACGACCACAGATTGAAAAGAAATATTATTTACCAAAATAGACTTTTGCCTAGAAAGTACATTTAACCAATAGAAGAAAGTTTTTATTGCTTTACTTCCTTGAATATTATAGAATCTTTTTATATATAATAAATAAAAAAGAATTGTATTTTAACAACCCTTCGGATGCCATTTGAAATAATGACGTGCAAATGACAACAGTTAAGTGTCAGGTCAGTCTGGCCGATCATTTAAAATGTGAGCAGATCAACAAGCATAGTGGCTTTCATTCTTGCATATCAGACAGGATTATGTACCGTTTACACCAGTGCTAGAAAAACCTGTCTTACACCCCATACCCCCACTGTAGAGGGCACAAAGAGGCTGGAGCATGGACGGGAGGAGAGGGGAGTTTGTACAGACTCTTCACTGTTGACCGCTTTGTTTAAGCATTTTCACTATTGAAATTCCATCATAGATATGATTGACAGTTCCAAATTCCAAGCAAGACAAATCTGTTATGCAAGAATATAGATTATATCAAGTCCAATAATATTGTAACTATGTAACATTGTCAATTTATCAAATATCTAAAACTAAGGGAGAAGTTTTACAAAGTTATTCACAAGGTTAACTGTGCACTCATCCAAATTCAAAGCAGGAGATATCTATATAAGGTATTCAGTATACAAATATATCATGGCAAAAAAAAACAAAAACAAAAAACGTGGTCAGTTTTAAAATCTCACCAAGGAAAAACAAAACAGAAAATTTGATGTATTTTTTTTCAAGAACGCCCCTGTTCATTTACGATCATATCAGCATTATTAGAAAGTTTAATATCTAATGAATCCATACACCATCCTTAATGGATTTTTAAATTGCGGTTAGCTAGTTTTCGATAACATACAATATTTACTATACCACTTAAAACTTGAAAAATCACTTAAATATAGCCAAAGTTACCTTTGATAAAGATATCATTTTATCTTTGTGTAACCTGCTTCACTTGTTAATTATGAACCATTTTACAGGTAGAAAAAAAGTGTTTATATACATGTATGTTTATAAATGGCTTAATATTCAATAATACTCTACTGAATATTTCTTAATTGACTTGTCCAGCATCCATTTTTGGGACTGTCCATGATCAATTTTAGGTATATCAAGATGAAAATTCATATATACATGTCTGTTTATAAATGGCTGAATATTAAATATAACTCTGCTTAATATTTCTAATCAAGTTGTCCAGCATCCATTTTTGGAACTGTCCATTATCAATTTTGGATATATCAGGCTAAAAGTACAAAGTTTGTCAGCCAATAGTTTTGAGCCTGGTGAGACTGCATGGATGTGCCGCCTGGCCTGGCTCTATACTGGTGGCAAAGGCTTAACTTTATTGGTTTCATCATTTTACAGGTTGATTTTAATAATTGTATACATTTCTAAATTTTCTTAACTGTCCATTGATATTTTGAAGGGTTTTCAATATCAGGCTGGTCTGGTTCTATACTTGTGGCATAGATATGACAATATTGCCGATGGCAGTCATTTAAGGTTAAATGGATCGTAAAATATTAATGCAGAATATCAGAAGAGATATTAATGCTTCAGTGTGTTTTACATTTTTTAGGTCAAACAGTTATATTATTATAGGTACATTTAAAGATATTTAGCCTGATATTTAGGGTTAATAACAAACTCCACTACTGTAAAACTATATAATTATTATATAGTTTTACAGTAGTGGAGTTTGTTATTAACCCTAAATATCAGGCTAAATATCTTTAAATGTACCTGTCAATCTGGCAAAATTTCCAAATATGTAATGACTAAGTAGCAAAAAGTACAGACCACCATGATTTTGGTCTGCACTGTTTGCATGGGTAGAATCAGGAGCCATCAGAATGGAACACCGGATTAATTAAGATTTTCTGTAATGCACAAAAAAATGTAAAGGCTATGCAAAAATAATTAAAAACAGAAAAAAATCATTATCAACAGATATTTCCACAGTTTTGATGCAAGACATTAATATTGATATATAGAAGGGAGATAATTTTTAGCTTTTAAAAGATACATGGATATGAGTTGTCTTTCTTTGGTTTATTGGCCAACATATTTGTTGTAGTTATTAACTGAAGTTTGTTCAGACCAACTTGATGAATCTTCTGAGAGCTTATTGTAAGATCCTTGTAAAAGTGGGAGATGTTAATGGATAGAAAGAAGTTGCTATGATAAGACATGGTTATTCCTTATATCCTGTTTTTGCCAATACATTACACATGGAAGAATATTTGAAATCTTGTCAAGTATTGCCCTTTATGAGAAATTGTTTTCATGCAGTTATTGTTTTAGAGACCTTTTGTTCAAATATAAATCAATGCATGAGAGCTTCTTCCCAAACATATTGGTTTTATATTTAGGTTATTTTGAACAAATGGTATTATCATGCTTTGCATTTACCCTACAAAATACATGTATCTGACTTTGGGCTGGTCTTTTTTCCAATATGGACAAAACAATTAATCATTTTTAAGGAATTTTTTTAAAAATTTTATGCTAACTGAGAAGTGGATTGTGCAGACTATGATCAGATGATCTTGTTCTTCACTGGTGGCATAAATGGATTTAGCGGCTGCGATCAGGTTTATGGTTAATGTTGGTCTACATGTAGTTTTACTATCATCTCTTAATTTTTTGATGAGTTCTTTACTTTCTTAATAGTTTTGTTTATTTTTTTCAGGATCATGGTGTAGCTTTTATGGAAACTAGTGCAAAAACGGGCATGAATGTGGACCTAGCCTTTATGGCAATTGCTAGGTAAGACTTTATAGTCAAATGATTTTTGACTTTAGTCTAATTATGCAATATGATGTCCACATTTTTAGTATATTTTTATGTGGCTTATTTAAAATAACTGTTTGGCCTCAGTGGCCAAGTGTTAAAGGTCGCAAACATCAAATCTTATGTACATGTACCAAGAATAGACCTTTACCCTTAGGATGGGAATCAGTTGGTGTCAAAGTGTGTGAGCTAAGGTAGCTGCTTTTTGTATTGCAGAGCATTCATTTAGTTATTGTAGATTATTATTTGGCAAGTATGTTACTATGACCTTTGCCCTCTGGAAATGGTTTGAGGTCAATGGGGTCAAGGTCAATGAAACTAGAATTTGATTATTCTACTTATCAAATATATAAATTTTTGTTACAGCTTCGATCATTGTCAACAATATATTTGTTAAATGTTAAGTTTTCTTTCTTTTATTGATAAGACATTATGAAGTTTTTTAATATCTGAATAACTAAAATGTTTATTAAATTTCAGAGATTTGAAAATGAAGAAAACTCGTCACCCATCCGATCCCAAATTTAACGTAGCCGAATATGTGGATAAGGAGAAGAAAACTGCGGGTTGTTGTAGCTAGCAGATTGTATAATATTCATGTGATACTCGTTGATAATATTGTTACTCTTGGAGGAACTAAACTCTCATCAGTTATATAAATAAACTACCCGATACCCTAGGATTATAAAAATTATATAAATGATGGTCACTTCTGTGGTGAACGTTAAAAATAGACTCGACACAGAGAATAATTCTGATTTTAAACAATGACGGTCACTTGTTTGGTGTATATATAGGACATATTAGAGACAACAATCTTTATCTATATACTAACTAGTGGGATTACATGTACTTGTTAATATCAATATTTTATATAAGAAAAAAGTATACACGGACGGACACCGACAATTTATATCTTCAGCAGAATACTTTATAAACACAAATAGGATTGCAAGTTTCCATTAATATTCCTACATGTGTACATGTATAAGAAAAAAGATATGCCGGTATATAGATTGTTTAAAGATTTAAAATGGTGTTATTTATAGAAAAGAAATGTGCATCCTTAAACTTTAGTTAAGAAATGTTTATAGTAACCTTTACACACCTAAATTTGGTTTATACAAAATTTATTTTAGTTCGATTGTGCAGGAAGCTATAAGCTTATAAACACACTTTCGAATCTGTTCCTGGAACCAACCAGTACTGAGCAATGAGTGTAAAGTTTCTTGCTCAAGGAAACAACGACTTGCCCCTGTCAGGGTTTGAACCCATGAGGCTAGCGATCATTAGATTACTAGTCCGAAGCGTTATCCACTCGGCCATGCCGCCACCTAAATTTGTATAATCGACTTGCCAAGCTTTCAATTTGGAACTGTCCATTATTGTTTCATAGGGTTTCAATATCAAAAAAGTAAAAATGGAGCAGTCGGCAGTACAGAATATTGTCAGACTGTATGGTTGTGCTGGTTTGTCGGACTACATTTGTAGCATAGGCAACTCATTATCGGTACTATAATGTAGAAAGTTATGTCGGTAATTTTAACAGTTAATTGATAAATTTAGCACATAATGTGCTTCCCTAGAAATCCATTGTTTACATAGTTCCCGTGTATAAATATACATGTATATATACATAAATATATACAAAGGTGGCAAATTAAGTGTACATGAATGATATGTATATGATATATATATAATAATTATGTGAAATGATATAATTAGTAAATCTTGGTATTTTGTATGAGGTATACAATTTTAACAGAGGTCTCGCATTGTTAGTTGGTAATTAATGTTATTATAAAAGGCAAAAGGTTTTTCTGTTACATATGTATGTATTTGCTATCTGTCTGTCTGTCTGTCTGTCTGTCTGTTTACAAATGAAATGAAAACACAGATTCTGTAAATTTATTCAATGGGCATTACCATGGCACAATAATATACAATATTTGGCATGGTTGTAGTAGATGCTTGTTTAGTTCAAGTGCTAAGTCCTGTTTGTTGAACAAATTAAATATTTTGTATATAAAAGTTACAAAAAAGGAAAACTTTAGAAAGGCATTGAACAAATTTCATACAAGACCAACCAAACATTGTTTTGGATACTTCATTAAAACTGGACCTAGGTATTTAGGAGGTACCAAGAAAATATTATATGACGGTAATATTAACATACTACATTCCTGTATTTTGATTGATATATATGCGAAATTGGTGAATTTGGTCAATATACATGTATGTGTAGATGTGACAGTTACCTAAGTTGAGATTGTACTCGTGTGTTATATAGTTAGTGATAGAAAAAAAAAGTTGTGTATATCATAATTATTTATTTTAGAATGTTATAATATTGTTTATTTCAATATAGAGAAGTGCTATGATTTGTCTTAATAGTTTGGTTCCCAGTTGGTAATGGTCTGATTCCCGGTCTGTAATGTGTCAATGTTTAGTTACTGTGAATTCACTTAATTTCATGGACATGAAATTTTCGTGGTTTTGTCACAAAGAACTTTTTCGTGGGTTATTAAATATGTAGACTTGTTAATTTTTCCAAAAGGTAAAATGTAAATAATGTGATGCAAAATAATCTTACAGCAGACGTAATTAAATTTCATTGGATCTTATATTCATGGATTGACATATCCACAAACACTACAAAAATTAGTGCCCAACGAATAAAAATGATTTTGCAGTATATACATGTAGACATTATTGTCACTCTAACAAATGATTATCATTATTACCTCCCCTTTTGTTAGTGTTAATTTAATTTGAGATAACCCTTTTAATTTAAATGAGGCTGATACCACTTTAAAATAAAGAGGAAGTTAATCTTTTGAAATTTAATGAGTGAAGTTACTGTTTTTTTTTAATTGAATGAGGAAGGTAAAGCTTTTGAATTGAACAAGGGAGGTAACTGTGATAATTTGAATAAGGGAGATAACTCTTAAATTGAAAGAGGGAGGTAACTATGTTAATTTGAATAAGGAGAAAAAACTTTTTTTTAAATTAAGATAGGAAGATAATACTTTCAAGATTGTTTAAAGGAAATTGATTCTTTTAGATTGAATAAGGGAGAGAGTCATTTTAATTTGAATAAGGGAGACAACTATTGTAGATTAAAATGAGGGATATTTGGAAACTTTTAGAACTGCCTATATTTTACATCCAAAACTCTCGCATTCCAGACAATCTCCATTCCATGATGACAAGTCAATGCACTATAAAGTTGACTTTTCAAATTTATGTATTTGATGAATGTAACAATTGATGTTCTGTTAAAACAAGTTTACATCTCAAACATTTGTTAGTTCTGATGAATGTGTAATATTGTGTTGTACTTGTGATACTAGCTCCCACGTGGGAAATGTGTCACTGCAAGTATAATGAATTGGAGAGATATTTTTATCATCAGTAAATTATCATGTGCAATATTTAATGAATTTTTCCTGCGAGTTGATAAAGAGTCAAAATTCCATTAAGTTCTATTATTAATCATCTGGGTGTCACACCTCATATATTTCGAAATGTTTTTATTCTTGTGAAAAGAATTTCAAACTACAATATTGTTTGTTGTATTTGAATGTTTATTTTATTCAGAAATTAGTCAGGTTTTTGCTGTTTAATTTTGTTTGTCTAAAAAGAATTTTTTTTTTCAGCTCAGCTTACATGAGCATAATAATTGTTCACATAAGCTTTGATGGTTAATGGCTGTCCACTTTTGGTTGTCAGTCAAAATGGCTATCCACTTTTTGTAGTCGGTCATTATGGCTGTCCACTATTTGTTGTCAGTCATAATGGCTGTCCACTATTTGTTGTCAGTCGTAATGGCTGTCCACTATTTGTTGTCAGTCATAATGGCTGTCCACTATTTGTTGTCAGTCATAATGGCTATCCACATTTTGTTGTCGGTCATAATTGCTGTCTACTATTTCTTGTCGGTCATAAACAATTGTTGTCTGCGCAATAAATAAATATAGTTCTATTTTTAAATTTGATTAGAACCAAGCTGATACAGGACTTTGTTTCCTAGAACTGTTAATTTGTAACAGAGTTGTTAATTTGTAACAGAGTTGTGGCCCCTGAAAGATGCAAAAACAGATGTTTCATTAATCATGAAAGTGGTTTCATTGTACATTTTATTTAAACCAAAGTTTAAAAAAACAGACCACCAACAAATAATCTTTTTTTTAATGTTTTTAAACTGGTTTTTTCCAGTCTTGGGTTCCAAAGTTTAAGCCCCGAAAAGGGTTAATATACATGTATGTGTATTTGTGTATTTTGCACTTTATAGATTTACAGGCATTTGATGTCAATTAGCTGAACGTCAGAAATTAAAAATAATTTGTCATGGTTCTTTTATAGTTATGCAGGCTCTTGTGGGAGCATGACCTGTTGCAATTTAGGTATTTAATGTTTACCTTTCTGGAAGTGGTTATCCTTAATCACCAGTGTTAAAGCCATTTGAGATACTAATGGTAAATTTGCCCATTGTAAACCAATCCACTTTAATTAAAAAAACGGGGAACAGTTGTATTCCATTTCTAGAAATATTGCTAGTATTTAAGTGTCAGATAATTTCCTAATGAATTGATGTGGATTTATTTCATGTTTGAACTGTTTATTTTTCTAGTGTTGTGCATTGAACTTTTCAGATTGTATTTAGTTCTTTAAAGTCAGATGGAAATTGAAAATACATTGTGATTTCAGCTGATTTTTTTTCCGGGTTTTAAGATCAAACATATACTTTGCCAAAGTATACTGGTATGCGAGCAGTTCCTGTACAGAAGGATTACCCGTATTTTTCATTCAAACAATTGATTTTTACTTGCATTCTTTACGTTAAAAAAGTTTTCATTTTAAAAAACTTTCTCCTGTGCGTTGTCAAAACGTGACCTTGTAAACATTGGGGGATTCCGTCCTTGCACGCATGCACAAAAATACATACATATAAGGCCTGTTAAAGGGGTTTCCATTAATACCACCCAAGTACAGATAAGTGGGCAATGTGATAAAACTTGTTAAGTTATCAGAATTTTTACCTATATTGCTACATGCTAAATGAAAAATATAGGTCCGATATAACAAAATTGTATAATTATAATGGATTACAATCATTTTATGTAAGGGAACTACTTCCCTTCTTACAATATAATGGATAATTTCAGTACCCCATAACTAAGGGTTATCCTAAGTTTAGAACATAATGGAATTTCCAAAATTTGTGTGACGAGCCGAATATTGATTTGTTACATTCATTTTGGTGAGTGAGCGAAATAAAAAATAATTTTTAAGTAACAACGATTTTTGTACGGGAACTGCTGGCATGCATAGTATGTATATTATGAAGCTCTTTAAGTTGAAGTTTGAGATTTGTATGTGCGACTTCTAGCTTAACTTTTACTTGATTGTATCATTACGAGTTCTTTTTTTCTTCCCTTTGTTTTGTAAAGGAGAAATTATTATATATTTTTATCTAGGGGTTGGGAGTAATTAATATATTTTTTGGAATTATTTAATCTAGAGATAGTCCATAATCTAGATCTGTTCAAGTTTTTCTAGTCTCATCTTTTGAAACTTTCTTTATATTGTTTTCAATTTTGTCATTGTTTTCAGACAATATATCATATTTAATTGGCTGTGTATTTGTTTATTCCTCATTTTTTACATTTAACCTGTCAGTACTTGAATTTTGAAAAATGAATCGTTGAAATTTTAAGCATATTTGGGAGGCTTCCAGTTAAGATCAAATACATGTTTAACTAAAAATTTGATTATGTAACAATTAATTATTGTGCTTTCACTTTTTCTGCCATTCAGAAAGCAATATACATGTAGAAATTTTTTGTGTTTATATATAACATATGCTGCCACTTTATTATGTGATTTATTTGTTTATTATTCTGGTGGAATCTCCATTTTTGTTCCTCTGAAGAAAGGCAAACAGTTCTTGTACAACTTGCCATGTATCACTTTTTAGTATACCCTCATTCTCTTAAATGCCTCCTTTCCCCCAGTCTTTCTGCTTAAACTAAAATTCCAACTTTTTAAATTCTTCAGTAGTTTGCTACAAAATGCATTGATCCAAAGTGTTTTAACAGGGATAAGTAGTATTGTATTGTTTATCTCTTTGAATTGATTTTGTTGCAAGTTTCTTTTAAGTTTTATGCTAACTTTATTAATTGATATGATTGTTTATCTTAAAGGTATACTGGTATAGTTTACTCAATGTTTCATGTAAACAAGGCAAACAGTAGTGATTGTTACATGAAGTGAATCTTTACACCATCATTCCATGCTGAAAAGCATAGAAAATCTCCACATGATCATTCTATGCTGAAAAGCATAGAAAATCTCCACTATTTAATGTCCCATGCTGTAAAATTCAGCTCTCCACATTATTATACCCCCAAAAACGAAGTTTGGGGGGGTATATAGGAGTCACCCGGTGGTCGGTCGGTCGGTCGGTCGGTCGGTCGGTCGGTCGGTCGGTCCAGACGTCCGTTGCATTTTCCTTGTCCGGAGCATAACTTGAAAACTAATGGTTGCAATTCAATATAACTACATACAATGGTCAAGCACATTGAGAGGAAGTGCAGTGCACAAGAACCATAACTCTATCTTGACTAATTACAGAGTTATTGCCCTTTGTTACTTTTCCTTGTCCGGGGCATAACTTGAAAACTACTGGTTGGAATTCAAAACAACTTCATACAATTGTCAAACACAATAAGGGGAAGTGCAGTGCACAAGAACCATAACTCTATCTAAAGTAATTACAGAGTTATTGCCCTTTGTTGCTTTTCCATTGCTTTTTTTTTGTCCGTTGCATTTTCCTTGTCCGGAGCATAACTTGAAGACTAATGGTTGGAATTCAATATAACTACATACAATGGTCAAGCACATTGAGAGGAAGTGCAGTGCGTAAGAAACATAACTCTATCTTGACTAATTACTGAGTTATTGCCCTTTGTTACTTTTCCTTGTCCGTGGCATAACTTGAAAACTACTGGTTGGAATTCAAAACAACTTCATACAATTGTCAAACACAATAAGGGGAAGTGCAGTGCACAAGAACCATAACTCTATCTAAAGTAATTACAGAGTTATTGCCCTTTGTTGCTTTTCCATTGCCTTCTTTTTTTGTCCGGACCATAACTTGAAGACTAATGGTTGGAATTCAATATAACTACATACAATGGTCAAGCACATTGAGAGGAAGTGCAGTGCATAAGAACCATAACTCTATCTAAAGTAATTACAGAGTTATTGCCCTTTATTACTTTTCCATTGCTTTCTTTTGTTTGGACCATAACTTGAAGACTAATTGTTGCAATTCATTATAACTTCATACAATGGTCAAGCACATTGAGAGGAAGTGCAGTGCACAAGAACCATAACTCCATTTTGACTTATCACAGAGTTACTGCCCTTTGTTTCTTTTCCTTGTCCAGAGCATGACTTTAAAACTACTGGTTGGAATTCAAAACAACTGCATACAATGGCCAAGCACAATAAGGGGAAGTGCAGTGCACAAGAACCATAACTCCATCTTGACTAATTACAGAGTTATTGCCCTTTGTTACTTTTCCATTGCTTTCTTTTGTCCGGACCATAACTTGAAGACTTATTGTTGGAATTCATTAAAACTTCATACAATGGTCAAGCACATTGAGAGGAAGTGCAGTGCATAAGAACCATAACTCCATCTTGACTAATTACAGAGTTACTGCCCTTTGTTACTTTTCCTTGTCCAGAGCATGACTTTAAAACTACTGGTTGGAATTCAAAACAACTTCATACAATGGTCAAGCACAATAAGGGGAAGTGCAGTGCACAAGAACCATAACTCCATCTTGACTAATTACAGAGTTATTGCCCTTTGCTACTTTTCCTTGTCCAGAGCATTACTTGAAAACTACTGTTTGGAATTCAGTACAACTTCATACAGTTGTCAAGGACATTAAAAGGAAGTGCAGTGCACAAGAGCCATAACTCCATTTTGACAAAATACAGAGTTACTGCCCTTTGATACTTTTCCTTGTCCGGAGCATAACTTAAAACATACTGGTTGGAATTCAAAACAACTTCATACAATGGTCAAGCACAATAAGAGGAAGTGCAGTGCACAAGAACTATAACTCTATCTTCAGTATTTATAGAGTTATTGCCCTTTGTTCTTTTTCTTTGTCTTACTGGACTTATTACAGAGTAATTCAATTAAACTTCATCAATGGCCAACCACATTGAAAGGAAATGCAACATACATGAACCACAATTATCTTTAATTGCCCACAACCATAACTCTATGTTTCAATTCTATTACAAGGTATTCTGTTACTAGTAACATCCTCATTTCCGAAGCAGACTTGTGGGGGTATTAATCACGTTTAGTGATAGTTCTAGTTTTTTCTTGCTAAATAGTTGAGCTCTCTCCATTTGTCATGCTAAGAAACAAAGATACCTCCTTGCCATTTATTTTCCCATGCTGAAATATCTCACGATTATACCATGAATATCTCCATATTACATGTAATCGTCATACCATGCTGAAAAATTGAGCTCTTCACATTACAATTTATTTTCCATGCTGAAAAGTTTAGCCATCTTTACATAATTATATCATGCTCAAAAGCATAGATGTCTCCACATAATCTGAAAAATGCTGTAAAGTTTATTATCCTCTCACCTTATCATATCATGCTGAAAATTGGAGATATTCTGAAATTATCATCCAATATAAAAATCAAATTCTCGTTTACAAATGTCTTAATATCCAGTATATCTTGGTATACGAAATTGCAGCCAGAATCAGATATTCAAATCTTTTTAAGAATGTTATGGTTCCGTGTACTTCAAATTGTTACTCCCATTTGGTACATGAAATTGGTATCTTCCTCAATCAGTAAAAATCTGGAAAATCCCTTTATGACCTTTAGAGGTGCCAATTGTACTTAAACCGAAGAGCATAGTTATGTTCAATTCTTTCATTTAACAAGCATAAAAGTTGGCTTTCACATCATTCCAAATTTTCACACTTGCATCATACTCAATAATATGACCTCCCAGTTTCAATATGCTTATATTTTTCTGCTCCCCGAAAAATTTCGGGGGAGCATTTAGTCGCCGGGTTGTCCATCCGTCCGTCCTGAATTCGTGTCCAGCCCATAACTTTGTTATTTGAAGTCAGATTTTAAAACTATTTCACATAAATGATCACCATATTGAGATGGCCTGTCGCGCACATTTGGGTCGCTACCTTGAAGGTAAGGTCACAGCATGACCTTGAACAAAAATCGTGTCTGGCCCATAACTTCGTTATCTAAAGTCGGATTTTACAACTTTGTCAGAAAAATGATCACCATATTGCGAGGATGTGTCGCGCGCAACCTTTGGGTCGCTTCCTTGAAGGTCAAGGTCACAGCATGACCTTGAAGAAAAAATTGCGTCTGGCCCATAACTTGATTATTTGAAGTCGGACTTTATAACTATTTGATAATTTCACAGAAATGATCAACATATTGAGACGATGTGTCACGCGCAAGTCGGTAGATAGATCTTATCGACTAGAAGTGCAGTGCAAAGAACAGTAACTCTGCATTGCCTAAGTTTGGAATTATCACACTTTGAACTTTGTCTGGGACATAACTCTGAAACTACAAAAGATATACTTTTCTGTGTCCAAATCCTAGTCGGGGAGCATCACCCGGTTGAACCGGCACTTGTTTTGTTACTGTTTTTCTTTTATTCATTCAGTATGGGATATCAGTCTTATAAATTTGTTAAGATTAGTTTTCGAGTTGTTAACATCTGGTATATATGTATCATTGTAGAAGATGTAACCTAAAATTGTTTCATTGTAATTAAAGAAAAAACCTGTTTAAATAAATAAAAAATTACTTTTGGCGTTGTTGTTTATGCTTTGTATGAAGCAATAGGTTAAAACCATCTGGTGCCCAGTTGAATGACAGCAAAGATAACAATCATGAATCTAAACTTGAAACTAACCTCATTGTTAATCACTTACTAAACCAACCTCATTGTTAATCACTTACTAGACTAACCTCATTGTTAATCACTAACTAAACCAACCTCATTGTTAATCACTTACTAAACCAACCTCATTGTTAATAACTTACTAGACTAACCTCATTGTTAATTGCTTACTAGACTAACTGTATTGTTAATCACTTACTTAACCAACCTCATTGTTGATCACTTACTAAACCAACCTCATTGTTAATCACTTACTAAACCAACCTCATTGTTGATCACTTACTACACTAACCCCATTGCTAATCACTTACTTAACCAACTTGGTTGTTTATCACTTACTAAACCAACCTCATTGTAAACCACTTACGTAACCAACCTGATTGTTTATCACTTACTAAACTAACCTCATTGTTAATCACTTTAATACTAAACCAACCTCATTGTTAACTATTTATTTAACCAACCTTATTGTTAATTACTTACTATACCAAACAATCTTTATAGTTTGATATCATACAATCTTAGTTTGGTATAATTTTCTTGAGATTATACTGAAACAAGACCAGGTTCAAAAATAAATGAAGCCCAAAACTCCAACTGACAATAGTTTAGTAAAAATCCCTTAAAAATGTGCTTGTTAGGCACAAAAGAAATTATTTGTGATCTGCTGTCAATGGGAAATCTGGTGAAATATCCCAGCATAGAAAAATAATTTAACTAATGATATATAACATTATTCTGCCTATCCCTTATTTTCAGGCCAGTGTCAATGACAAAACTATACAGAAATATGTCAAACTTTCGTTACTGATTATTCCAGATTTCATCTAACAATCTGGAAAAAATCTGACCTGTTAAAAAAAATACGAACTCTTAAACTTAATGATGATCAAACAACCATCAATAAAAATAATAACAAAATCACATCACATATATATTTTTAATTATATTATTACTACGACATACATGTTTTAATGTTACACAATGATTACAAATTCTGGTCAAACTCAAACTAACAAATATGATCATATATGAGCCGTGTCATTATAAAACCAACATAATGGGTTGGCGACCAGCATGGATCCAGACCAGCCTGCGCATCCGCGCAGTCTGATCAGGATCCATGCTGTTTGCTATCAGTTTCTCTACTTGTAATAGGGTTTGTAAGCGAACAGCATGGATCCTGATCAGACTGCGCAGGCTGGTCTGGATCCATGCTGGTCGCAAACGCACTATGTTGGTTTTGTCGTGACACGGCTCAATTATATTTTCCAATTTATTCATTAACAAATGTTAAAAATTAAGCACTAAAAATAGAGTTAAGTTTAGAATAAATTAAATTCCATTTGTATTCAAATCACAAATTTCCTTTCAGTTTGTTTTCTCTCTTGGTCCCCATAAGGTTTAACATAACTATATAACATAACCTTTTCTTAACAATACAAATAAATACCTTATTAAACAATGTTTTAAATTTTCAACATCACCAGGTCCAGTGTCTTACAGGCTTTAAACAAGAGCCCCAGACTTCACATCCATATATAAATAAATTTAGCTTGTTTAGTACAGCTATCATCATGTATTTGTACAATTTCATTTGTATTTTAGAGGTATTGTTGTCTTTTTTTTTAATGCTCAGTAAAAATCCTCCTCCTCTTCAACTTTAGATTTAGTTTTACTTTGATTCTGTATCTGTGATTGACCTCTGTACATATCTGCTACCTAGAAATAGAAATATAAAATATGTTGAACAAAATTTGCAAAGAAACAAAAAAAAAACCTATCAGTAATGTTTGTATGGTACAGTGCATAGAAAAAATTGCTGTGGTTCTAGCTGGATAACTTTCTCACATGAAGAATCCAAACACGCTGACACCGCTTAAACCTAAATTTTTGTAAGGCAAGTGGTTTGAAGTCAACAAACTTAATCACTTGGCCAGACTAACTATTTCATTTTGCTTTTTTGGGTATATATTCTTCATGCTTCATTTTATATATCCTTACTTTTGCTAAATAATTATAAAATATGCTGAAATGAACATGTTGAAAAAGAAATCTTAATCCCACCACCACCAAACAATGCTCAATTTTTATTTCAGCTCGTTTTCATCATATATTTTTGTGATCAACTTTTTTCAAAATTCAATCTGATTTATCACTGCATTAGCTACCAGAGCTAAAGTTACATATACAACAAATTCTGCACAGTACCTTAGCCTATCAATCAGGGTAAATACGTACCTGTGAGGCTGAAGTTGCCTCCTCTGGTTTCTTGTCATCTCGTATCCGTAGAAACCGTGGAAATCTCAATGATATACCTTTCTCAGGATCAACCTATAAGTATACAATCACTGATGTAAAATATACATCCTATGTGACATTTTAATTTTTCGGTACCTTGTTATCCAAAATAATACTTGTTTGTCATATGTTGGTCCTTTAGCTCTGTTGGCAACTGGTACATTAAAAGTGTATTAGTATTTTGTATGCAAGTCAAAGTACTACATTCGTTCATATTTTGCTACCTCTATGACACATTTTTGCACATTAAGCACCACTTTCATCAACAATGTAACATACATGTGAACTTTTTTTAATGATCAAATGGGAGATTTTTCATCAAAAAGAGGGAGTTTTAGAATTTGCAATAAACAAAGAAGAAAGTTCTGACATCAAAAAGAGGGAGATTTCTTTAATTTTTTAAAAACCCCTTATTTTAAGAAAAATATGCAGAAAGTGGGAGTTTCCTGCTAAAAGTGGGAGAGTTCACATGTTTAATGTAAATGTTAATAATGTAAAATAATGACAAAACATTCAACATAGAAAAGTTGTAATAAAACCCCATATATTTACATGTATGATAATTATGATAACGGGGGTAATGTTAAAATTCATGACTCACCATTCCAGCAGCTGCCTTGTGTACTGGGGACACAGACAGATCGGCTGCCTTGATCTCCCACACCTGAACCGGTTCAAACCAGTGGTCACACTCCACTGACTTGTCCCATTTATAGTAGGACTTGGGTTTCTCTATCACATGTTCCTTGAAGAATGTTGTGTGTTTTTCTAAATCCTCGTCCTTAAATCCTGTACCAATCTGGAATTGTTTATATATACGTTTATATGAGCCACATCATGACAAAACCAACATAATGGGTTTGCGACCAGCATGGATCCAGACCAGCCTGCGCATCTGCGCAGTCTGATCAGGATCCATGCTGTTTGCTAACAAACTCTATTACAAGTAGAGAAACTGATAGCGAACAGCATGTATCCTGATCAGACTGCGCAGATACGCAGGCTGGTCTGGATCCATGCTGGTCGCAAACCCATTATGTTGGTTTTGTCATGACGCAGCTCATATAATATAACAAGGAACATCGCAATGCAATGCAACCAGGTTTTCAGCAAAATATTTCACAGAAGCTTTGTCATGAAGGGGCATTTGTTTTTAATTGAACTTTTAGGAGGAATTATGGCTTTTTCAATATTCCTCAAACAAAAATGATTGAGAAATTTTATGTTGTCTATTCGCCTTTTTTCCCCAAATGTTTTAGAAAGGTAAACAGTACTTTATTTTTGCTTAATTTTTGCATTTTTGCGTCTCTTGTCATTTTCTTTTGTCAACAATATTGGCGTGTAGTGTTTTGTGCGATATCAAGAAAAGTATGTTCACAATTTTAAAAAAATACTCGAATGATGTCTTGGAAGAAACATGGGAATTTAGTGAGCGCCAGGGCCACTTGATGACAAAGCTTCTGTGAAAGTTTGGTCAAAATCCATTGAGAAATGTAGGAGAAGTTGCGCACTGTAGAAATTGTTCACTATATATTCTGTATAAGGAAAAAAATATACAAAGGGCCATAATTCGGTCAAATATTATCCAATCACAAAACCCGACAATATGTGCCAGGCACTTGAAAACAAAGCTTCTAAGAAAGTTTGGTCAAAATCCGTTGAGAAATGTAGGAGGAGTTGAGCACAGAAGAAATTGTTCTCTATATATTCTGTATAAGGAAAAAATATACAAAGGGCCATAATTCGGTCAAATATTATCCAATCACAAAACCCCGACAATATGTGCCAGGCACTTGAAAACAAAGCTTCTAAGAAAGTTTGGTCAAAATCCGTTGAGAAATGTAGGAGGAGTTGAGCACAGAAGAAATTGTTCTCTATATATTCTGTATAAGGAAAAAATATACAAAGGGCCATAATTCGGTCAAATATTTTCCAATCACAAAAACCCGACAATATGTGCCAGGCACTTGATAACAAAGCTTCTAAGAAAGTTTGGTCAAAATCCGTTGAGAAATGTAGGAGGAGTTGCGCACAGAAGAAATTGTTCACTATATATTCTATATAAGGAAAAAAGACAAAGGGCCATAATTAGGTCAAATATATACCAATTGCAAAACCCTGGCAATATGTGTCAGGGCACTTGATGACAAAGCTTCTGAGAAAGTTTGGTTAAAATCCGTTGAGAAATGTAGGAGGAGTTGCGCACAGAAGAAATTGTTCACTATATATTTTATATAAGGAAAAAAAACAAAGGGCCATAATTAGGTCAAATATTATCCAATCGCAAAACCCCGACAATATGCGCCAGGGCACTTGATGACAAAGCTTCTGTGAAAGCTTGGTCAAAATCCGTTGAGAAATGTAGGAGTTGCGCACAGAAACTATATATTCTATATAAGGAAAAAAAAACAAAGGCCATAATTAGGTCAAATATATACCAATTGCAAAACCCTGGCAATATGTGTCAGGGCACTTGATGACAAAGCTTCTGAGAAAGTTTGGTCAAAATCCGTTGAGAAAATGTAGGAGGAGTTGCGCACAGAAGAAATTGTTCACTATATATTTTTATATAAGGAAAAAAAACAAAGGGCCATAATTAGGTCAAAATATTATCTAATCGCAAAACCCCGACAAATATGCGCCAGGGCACTTGATGACAAAGCTTCTGTGAAAGTTTGGTCAAAATCCGTTGAGAAATGTAGGAGGAGTTGCGCACAGAAGAAATTGTTTACGCCCGCCCGCCCGCCGGTCCGCCCGCCCGCCCGCCGACATACCACAATCTAATAACCAGTTTTTTCCTTCGGAAAACCTGGTTAAAAACAATTTAAATTTCATGTCATTAAAACTGTATTAAACAGCATTTTAACTAGTATAAGATCATGTATATTTTTCCTATTTGAACTGAGCAACTTGACCATACAGACCAAATGATCGGAATTGTAGTAATAACAATTCAGGAAAGCATTAATAATACAGGTATTTATCACGGCTATTGTTTGAGTGTTGTTAATTCATGGGAGAATATTTTACATATTTTGTTTATTTATCAATCTAAAATAGGGCTTGAACACGTAATCTCTGGTTTGAGAGGGAATTATCTTAACCACTAGGCCAAAAAAATCATGTTCTTATTTTTTTATTAGACATACATTTTATTTTAATTATCAGACATCAGACCAAAAACAAACTTTTTTTTTTGACACCCCTCAAATTAAAACTATTTCGAAGATTTTAAAATTTTCCAACTTTGTTGAAATTTTTTTATAAAATTTAAATTTATAAAATATCATGAAATCTCAAACCCATTGAAATTAAACAGGGATAAACAAATAATTTTTAAAGAGCATCTATATTATTTCTGCGTCCTTCAGGGGTTTAAAATTTAAATTTCAATCCTTTTTAAGGGTTAAATTTTTATTAAAAAAATTTAAACAAAAAAAGTTAAAAAAATTGAATAAAATTGAAATATTATGCTGGGAAATGGGGCCCAATTTTTCAAAACATTTTAAAACTAATTTTTTCTTTTTAAAATTAATCTTTGGTTAATAAATAAACAAAATAGTTAAAATACTGAATAAGCTGAATAATGAATTAACACAGTTACCTTTAACAACGGTCACAGAACTTGAGAAGTGTTTCAACATTATACTCGAACAATAGCTACTTCAATCATAAGCAACTTTGAAAAAAAATTTTTTTTGTTTGAGTTTAAGTCATACCAACACTGAAAAGGTCATTCTGGCCCTTTTAAGCTTTACTGGTGGAGGAAGACCTTCAAGCATTATTTCAGGCTCAAAGGGCTCCTGAGTAGAACCACTAACCTAGCTAGCTGAAAAGTTTCCTCAAAAGTCCCTGACCGGGTTCTAAACCACAGCTGTGATGGAAATGTGATTTGAAGTCTGTATCTTTAACTTAGGAAGCTTAAACTTTAAAATATATAGAATGGTCACCTTGCATATACACTGATATTCCTCATTTTCATCATCATAACAGGCCAACAGGAAACCTCCATATCGTCCAGTACGTTTCCCTGTACCAAGATATCCTCCCATCACTAGTACATCTAATGTATCTCCCATACCTTCCAAATAATCCTTCTTCACCTGAAAATTTCCAAATCTTGTAATGTAACATGAATATAATGATCGAAAGTATTTCTGTACTTACAATCTAATTTTTCTATGGACTACTGTGAATTCACAGTCTTAATTTCGTGGGCATGAAATTTTGTGGTTTTGTCATAAGAAACATTCTTGTGGGTTCTTAAATTCGTGGACTTTTAATTTTTCCAAAAGATAATCTGTAAATAATATGATGCAAAATAATCTTACAACAGACAAAATGAAATTCTGTTAGATCTAAAATATGACCTATCCACGAAAAACACAAATATTAATAATTTTGCAGGATATTTTATCAAAGTAAGTAAAAGATTACCTTGAGCCAGTTATGAGACCGTTTTGCTATTTCATATGTGGCATCTACATCTAGTGTTTTCACCATCAAACCCTCACAGTTTCCTTAAAGTAAGAAATACAAGCATTATGAAATAATATGCAAAAGAAATTGTAAACAGTTGGTTTAGTATCATGCACTTGAAGACAAAAAAACTGAAAACAGATGCAGATTTTTTTAATAAAGTTCTTACAGTTTTTGATATTTAAAAAAAAAAATTTAAAAAATTTTTCCCATTTTAAAAAAAAATTGGGGCTGGCCCAAAATTTAAATTTTCTCCCGTTAAAAATTTTGACAAAAGTTTACTATGATTTCAAACAAAAATATATTTCATAATTGTTTTTAATGTTTAACCCTTAATCAGCTGAACTGGAAAGTGATTAGCTTTTGCCACTGTAAAGTCTGACCAGACTCTATACTTCTAGCTTTTCAATTTTTGTATTTTGAAATTGAAATCCAATGAAATTTGAATGGAGTGTTTCGATTTAAAAGCAGGACAAATTCATTACAACAATTCAGCAGGTTAAGGCTTAAAATTTAGTGAAATATCTGCTTTACATCTACAGTAATCTAAATTACATTTTATTGAAAACAAAATATCGTTTTCTGATCTAATATGCTGTTCCATATGTCAATATATACAACACTGAGAAAATTACCATGATAAATATAAATATTGATAAATATACCTTTGATAGACTCTTCTAAAAACTCTGATATCTCCTCAGTATTTGATGAAATCATTGAGGTAGCAAAAGTGAATTCCCCGTCGATTTCTTTAAACGATGACCTCAGTAATTCACGTCTACGTCGGAAAGGTTGACGTACAAGAGATTCCCCATTCAGATACAGCAAGTCAAATGCATAAACACAAACTTGTACCTTAATTTCAGCTGCATCAGCATCCTGTAGAAGTATAACATGGTCCAGTAAAAAATTTAATTGCAAAACAATATATAAAACATTGATGACTTTACACATATTTTCATTGGGGAGTGTGGATGGTTAGGATGGGGGTTTAAAGGAACTCCACTGTGGTCAAAAAGCTTTAAAACATGAAAATTTTACATAGATCAATTGAAGCACCTAAAATTGAAAAATCTGAGAAAGATAATAAAGAAATATACTTAAAAAAATAATTGAAAATATTTTTTGGGGGCGATTTTTAGGCCTTTTTGCACAATGAAATTAATTTACTGGCAAATGGGGTGACAGAATGATCAGAAAATTTGCAGAAAGTTTTAGGTTCAGACCTAAATAAAATGATTTACAAGTCTCAGAAAAATATATCCAGTCCATTTATGCCAAAAAAAACAAACCCTCAGCGGAGTCCCTTTAAGTCACAAACATTTCAGGCCATAATGGCTGCTTTCCAGTTTAACTGATAATATGCCTCTCTGAGCACCAAAGTAGAACCACTGACAACCCCTCTCCCTACACATATATGTATCTGTTTACTATCTGTAACCCTGATCATACTAATAAATCATATCTTGTGAAATGAACATTCAAAGACACTTAGCAAGACATTAACTGCAATGAAAATGTACAGAAATCTTTGTCAAGATTTATAACTATCCACCCATTTGCAAATAAACTTCATATTTTTGTGCGTCTTTTCCTTTTTTAAACATGCTTTTAACACTTGTCATATGGTTGTTTTTAATTGCTTTTTTATTGGGGTTTACATTGCACCAACAAAGTACAGGTCATAAAGCACACATACAGGTCTTTCCAGCTTTCCTGGTGGAGAAAGACCTTGAGTGCCCCTTTATGCATTCAAAGTTATGTCAACAGTTAGAAGCATGTGACAAATATCCATAAAATAATATCTTTACCTTTCTTTTTCTTGTAGTAAGGACCTGGAAAGGTAGAATTTGTTTCTTTTCAGCATCCCAGGCAACTGCCTCGGTATCTAGAACACATGATTTCACATCTTCTGCCAGACATTTAGGTAGACGTGAAATAATATCTGGGTATTTACTGGTGTTGTCCTCCGAGTTTCTACTGTAAATTTGTATCTTACCATTTTCTAACAAATGGATCTATAATATAAAATCATTCATGCATTTATACACAAATCTTAGGTACCACTGAAAAGTTCTTAAAGCAATTAAGACAATGTTATGTTGAAATGTATTTTCATTTCTTAAAATCATGCTTTACATATGTCCTACAAGTCATGAACTTTGCAAAACTTTGCTTTTTAAAATTGCTCATTCTAAAAAGGGGAAAACACTTCTTAAAACAGATGCATTGATTAGAAAATTAATTTAACTCCTAAAGTATTTTTGTGCACTCAATAATATTTTACTATAACACTTTCATGCCAAGTATCAAGGCTAGCATAGGATTTTACTGAATTGATATATGAATTTAGAATTTTAAATGCTATTGAAATATGGTCTGAATTTATGTCTTTGTGAAAAAAAGAAGGCATAACAAACATATAAATAATTGTTTCTAGAGTTTCTTTTTTTTATAATTCATATAACTAATTAGATATAATTTATCAATTTAAAATATGACAAATACCTGAGCCCGTTCACCATCATACTTGTATTCACATGTAAAATCATTGTTCTCAAACCGAGATAACACCTCACTAATACCTTTTGTAGGATGTGCCAACATCGGTTTTAATGGAATACCTGTAAAATTCAGAACAATTCACCTACAATAACAATGGTTTTAAGAATAATTAAGTTCATTTTTTGTTTTTTTTTTTGGTTGGTTTGGTTTTTTGTTGCACCAACACTGTGAAGGTCATTTGGTGACTTTCCAGCATAACAGGTGGACAGAGACCAGAGATATCCCTTCCCTGCATTGTTTAAGCCAAGAAAGGGCACCAAAGTCGAACCATTGGCTTTCCGTAAGCTAGATTGGCTTTTTCATAGCTTCTTTGCACCTTCTTTGTAAACTTCATATTGCCCCTAACCCAAACCGCCTCCCTGGTTGAGGGGTTTGAGTAGATGACTTCTAATCAAGTTACCTCTCTGGCGTGGGTTCGATCCCAGGGAGATGCTTTGGTAGTTTAGCGCAGAGGAAGGTAGTCTGGTGCTGGTGTAACTCTCCAGGAACGATGGTTAGGAAACTACCCACCTATATGACTGAAATACTGTTGGGAAAAGGTGTAAAATGAAAACAAACAAACAATCCTAACCCAAAAGCAGAATTTGAACTTGTGCCATGCAAATTTATTTTAAATAACTTATGTTGACAACTGCTATACAGTTGAGTAGAAGTGTTCACAATAATAATAATATCTTCTAATTTCTTTTTTTTTAATTAAAATTCTAAATTTTACCTGGAGTTAATTTACATCTATTTGGTAATTCTTCAATACCATGCTCCAATAAACAAGGAATTATAGCTCCATAGTTTGGACATTCACTGAAAATAACAAGAAATTTAGTGTATCTATTAAGAGGAAAAGTGAAAATTTGTTAAATGTTAATTAATATAAACAAATATATGTGGTCACACATAACAATGCAATTAAATACTAGTTTAATAATGATTCATAAAGTTTAAATAGCTTTATTTTGTTTTTAATTTGAGATTTTTGTTAAATTATAATGATCATAACAAGTGCTATTTTTCAATGAAGACTTTGCCTCCCAGAGAGGTTGGGTGTACACTGACCCTGGTTACCTTGATCTCTGAACCTTAAAATTGAGCCGCGTCATGACAAAACCAACATAATGGGTTTGCGACCAGCATGGATCCAGACCAGCCTGCGCATCCGCGCAGTCTGATCAGGATCCATGCTGTTTGCTTACAACTCTATAACAAGTAGAGAAACTGATAGCGAACAGCATGGATCCTGATCAGACTGCGCGAATGCGCAGACTGGTCTGGATCCATCCTGGTCGCAAACGCATTACGTTGGTTTTGTCTTGACACGGCTCAAATCTATACATTGTATATGGGTCTGGCGGAAAGAGTTCATCAAAGTGCATCTGGCGGCTTAATGTGGGTAGACTTTAATGTTACAGTCAAGATCTAAGTTCTGTGACAAACAGAGAGACCAAAAACAGTATCCCCTTCTGATCCAGAACAGGCAAACTTGACAATGGAGCAACGCTCTTGATCTACAGACTGAATTTGAAGTAAATCTTGAACAATTATCAGCAGTTGATGCCAGATGATAGATCATCCAGTCTACCCTAGTGACTAACCACAACCATTATGTGAGTAGATATAGAGGATATTTGTTTGTTTGTGTGTAAGATGAAATTTTATTTCATCGAGTGGGCTTTAAAAACAGTATTCTCACTACGCCACGAGTGAGAATACTGTTTTTAAAGTTCACGAGATGAAATAAAATTACATCTTACACAACAGACAGACAAATTTTCTTTTTATTTTATGCTTAAAAACAAGTTAAAACGAAATTTCCATAATTTTAACTGTTAATATTAAAACTGTTTCCCCCATTGAGAGCCCCATTTAGTCGGAATTTCTCATTAAAAACAAGAAGTCTTGAGCTGAAAAATAAGTCCGCCAATCAACGTTAAATGACCGTGATATTTATTCATTTTATTTAAAAAAATATGAATGATCGCTTGTTTTAATAATAAAAAACAAACAATTCTTGTAGGAGAAAAAGTCCAACCATCCTCCATATTTCTGTTACTTACTGCGAATTTATATTAGACCTGGCTTTGTAAATTGTAAGCGCCAGCCATTTTTTTAAAGTTGTGTATTTCATGGGAGGAAAATAATTGTGTAAGATTCAGAGGGATATAATTTGGATTTGTTAGTCATACACCTTTTTAAAAGAAAGAAAACTTATTTGAGGATTGTAACAGACAAAAAATAAGTGTTGACAGATGTGAAAACATTCAGAAAAGGAGCTAGGAAAATGGAAAACTTGGAAGCTTGCTCAAGAACGCTGGGTTGTTTTACTTATTCTTCGAGTGATGGCTGTCAATGCTTTTCAATTTTTCATAAAGCATACGGCAGTTATTGCTCGTAGGATACTTTAATATGCCCAAATGTCATCAAGAGCAGTTTTGCATGGGGAAGGAATGTATTTTTCAGACTGTAAAAATGAAACAAAAAAATTTAGAGACGAAATTTGGTGATTGGAATTTGAATGAATAGAAGTAAGTTTTCTTCTTTTTATTACTTTTGACATTTAAGTTATTTATCAATTTCAGCTTTGCTTTTTCTTTAAACAGCCTGACATTGTCAGAATTGTCAGCAAAAATAAAATTGAGGTACCACATGGGGAAAATCTTAAAAAAGTAGTTTCGTCATTGAAAAAAGTGAAATTATATTTTGATAATTTTCACTGTGAAATTATCAAATATAATTTTCACGGATAAATCAGTAATCCACTGAAAAGCATAAAATAAAATATAGATATTTACCAGTATGTAGTTTTAATGACTAGAGCAGACTCCTCCATTTTCTGTTTTAACGACTCAGCACTCTTTCCCTTCCCTGCATTTATTATCTCTGGTGGGTACTCTAAAATTGCAATAAAAAACAATAATCATTTTTTTAGGTTCAACATTTTTTATTTTCCTAAACATTTTTTTTGCAATTATACCAAAGAATTTGAAGAAAGAATTGACCTATATTTTGTGTTAATCATGTATCCATACTGTGTTTCATTCATACTGCATAAAGTGAGGTTTTGTTTTGTTGGGTTTTAAGTCACACAGTCACTTTAAAGGTTATATGATGACTTTGGCATCAGTGGAGGTAGATCTTGGGTGCCCCTCCATGCAAGTATAGGGCCACTGATGTCACATGAGATAGCTGGATAGCTTCTTCACACAAATGAATCCCTGGTAGGATTTTAACCCACAACAGTGACTAGCAAAATGGTTAGAAGTCAAAAACGTTAACCACTCAGCTACAGACACCCTACACATGTGATGTCAAATTATTTATTCAGTCAGTCTAAAGTTGAAAAGATATCAAAGATTTCTATCATAAATATTTTCATACCTTGACCAGGTGGAGTAAGATATATTGCATTTCCAAGGGCCGTAAGTACACTCTGTTCAGCAAGACCTATCCTCAACTTGCCGCCCAATGATCGGATCAGATACCGAGCCTCAGACTGCCGGCATGCCACAAACATACCCTTAATCTTATCTATCTTCTTTGTCATCACCTGAAAAGAGGAGAATGGGAATTCAAATATGTTAGATCATCACTTATATCTATAGAAACCTTAACTGTACAATAACCATGAGTGACATATTTCTGTTGTATTACAATTATGTTATGTACTATATTAGATATTCTTGTATATCACTTACATGGACACTTGTATATTGTGAGGCTTTTCTATCAGTTTATGCATGTGTAGATGTAAGTGTGTACAATATCTCTTTTCATGGCTTGGTGCTTGTGATGTCAAGTTTTTGTTAGTCTACAATAGTTTAAGAACACAATCATAGACACTGGCATCGGCTCTAAGCCTCATGCTGAGTAAAGTTTGTGTTCTAAGCATGGGGTATGGCAATCTCTCACAACAATCCGTGTTACATGCCACACAAATGTAGTACAATATTATAGAGTGGATCGTAGGCATGACATGAAACCTACTCCAGCTCCAGATTATGTCAACTCAGATAGCCAAAAAGGTATGTGATAAATAGAAAATTATGCTTCCTCAGATTCAAACTGAAAGGGAGATCACTTGGCACCAAAATTATTTGAAAGAAAGAAAGAGTAAGTGACAGTTACAAAGGGAAGTAAGTCAGCAGATGTAAATTATAAAGTAGCATACAGAGTTGCCTGTCATGGTGGCTATCTCCTTTAGTTTGGTGAACACTGCTGGAATTGTTAGATTTGCTGGGGCAAACATTGTCCTCTGTGTGCTTCTACTGTTCTGTAAGATACAAAATTAAACAGACATCATTTAATATATCTAAATTCCAAAAGTTTGTTCTAAAATATTTCAACACCATTATATTATTAGTTTTAAAGATTTTTGACAGGATATATAGCCCTATATAAATGGTTGCTTGTAAATATAACCCAAGCCTTTAGGTGATGGTTATATAGCAAATTACAATTTATATGTGGACCATCTATTAAGAAACTTTATAATGTTATTTATAAAACTGCAAACTTTATTTATTAGAAAGAAAATGAAATTAATTCTTAAATCAACTGCAGCCATGTATATAGATGATAATTATCATGATTATCCAATCAAAAATCACGTTACCAATGTGCTGTATTATAATCAGGCTTATACACAAAGCAAACATTACTTTTAAAGAAATGACAAGACTAAACATTAATCGATCAAAATATAAAAGCCAGTTCCAAATTAAAAACAGGACAAGTCCATTAAACAGTAAAAGTAGTCATTTGTAAAAGTAAATATTTAGCTGATCCTATTTCCTTTCATGACAGATATAAATGTAGTTATTTTTTCCCCTGTATATCATTATAATAATGAAAGAAATGATTGAGATTTACCTCAGCAACAATACCAAGATCTCCTTTTTCCTGTGCATCAACCTTTATTTTCTCCATACTTCTACCTATAAGTAAATTAAAACATTAAATTATAAAATCTTTATTTTTAACAAGTTAATGTTTTTTTACAACACTGAAGATGAAAACATTCTTATAACTTATATGTATGCATGTAGTCTGAACAGTTGCTACACTATGAGCAATTAGATATAAAGAGCCTTTATGGCATTTCAAGGCATGATCTGAAGGTATGAAAGATGCATTTTTATTCTCTATTTTTTAAAACAACCTGTGGCTTTCTGAAAGGGATAATATAGCACGATAAATTAAAGAAAGGAAAAAACCTGTAATAAAATTCCAACAAATGAGAATGAAATTTATAATATCAGACTTTCCGAAAGTTGAAAAAAACTGTCAGACATTCGGTCTGACAAACCATGAAAACCTGTCGGACCGAAACGAAATCTGTCGGACCAAATAAAATTGATCAAAATCAAAGAATAACTTGTGTTTGTATTTCTAAGACACTTTTTGTTTATAATTTTTTTGCCGTAAAAATCGGCACATTCCTTACTGCGCATTTTCATCTCCTCCCTATCATACACCAACGATTCACTGTCTTGCTTCTATTTTTCATTAAATTTTGTCTCAGGTCTATTCTTTTTATCCTTTTACTGCTGTTCTGCCTGTTCCTCTGACGTAGATTTTTTATTTTTCAAAGGTTTTGTATACATGCGGCTTGGATAAAAGCCGGACAGTCGGACCGATCCGGAATAAAAACTCGTCGGACCTGTCCGTCGGACCGACGTATTTCGGGAAGTCTGTGATATCCACACATTTTACAAAATTTTATGTAACAAGCATGGTACATAGCAGAGGCTATCTATAGGGACAGCTTTCTGTCTTTCAGTCAATGAAATTTATCAACTAGCTGATGTAAGTCAGATTCTGTTAAGTCATGGTTCCATATGTGCAGAATGTGCATAGGGCATTTAAAAAGCTCTACAAGTACAATTTTTTTTTTAGAAAACTACTTGATTTTAAAGAAAATTTCCATTTGAAAAGGGCCTTTTATAGGCCTCTGTTATAAAAAGTTAAAAACTCCTGTTCAGGTATCAAAATTCAGATATATATCCTATCACCTAGCTTACTTGACAAAACAGATAACGTTCTTCCACTCTCTTTACCCCAGCAGTATCATATCCCATCATACTCTTATGCAATACATATTTTCTTATCTGCCATGTCTTATTTGTCAATGTGGTAATAAAATGCAGCTTACAATAACCACTAAATGCTGTTACTGATATCACAAAATTTATTTCATTTCTCTACTGAAAAACAAATATATTGCTATTTACCCTTGCCATAAGGGGTTTTTTAATACATCAACAACTTACCTGTACTTTGAGCAATTGCTTTCATGAGAACGGTTTCACCTATACCAAGTTCAACACCTTCATATGCCGGTGCTAGCTTGTTCAAACACAGGTACACACATGGTAATAGCTCATCCGGTGTTAACACTATCACTGAACGGAAAAAGTTGCTTAAAATCTCTATAATCTTTAATCTGAAGTATAAAGGAGTTAAACAATTTTCAGTTTTAAACAGTCAGACTATAATTCTATCAATTCAATACAGTTATTTCTAAGTAAGACCATGAATCGAAACAATATTCTAAAGTGAGGTATTGAATCAGTAATCAAGAAGACACTGGTTATTAGTGCCATTATTCTTAAGGGAGGCACAGAATCAGTGCCATTATTCAAATGTAAATGCACTGAATCAGTATATTCAAAAGTGATGCCCTGAATCATTGCCAATATTATATAAGGGTGTTATTAAATTATTGCCATTATTCAAATGTTAATGCACTAAATCAGTTTATTGTACGAGTGATGCCCTGAATTAGTTTCATTATTCTAAAGTGAGACAGCAAATCAGTTCCATAATTCAAAAGTAAATACATCAAGCAATGCTATCATTCAAAAGTAAAAGAACTTAAACTGTGCCATTATTCCAGTGAGACACAGAATCAATGTCATTATTCAAAAGTAGGCACTGATTATTCAAAAGTGAGACAATGTATAAATGTCATTATTCTTACTTAAGTCTATGTATCAATGCCATTACTCTAAAAGTGAGGCATTAAAATGGTGCAATTATTTGAAAGTGAGGCACTGACTAAGCATTGGTGTTTTATTCTTAACAGAGACATTGAAAAACTACCATATTTTTTAAGCAAGGTATTGGATCACTTCCTTAATTCAAAGTGAAGCGACGAATAGCGATGAATAGGAACAACAATTCTAAAATAGAGCATTTAATTACAACATCATTATAAAGCACTGCACTGTATCTGTATCATAACTCTTAAGTACCGAATGCAATCCAAGTTTTTAATTCTTTGAGACGGTATTTGACTATATTCGAGATTTCAATTATATACACATTAACACAAAATCACGCAAGAGAGTGAAAAGAAACCATATCAGGTCCACACTTCAAGACAAAATGTAATTTTCTCCCTTCCATATATCTAACTGAGATGACTTTGTAAGAAATCTTTACCTTGCAGACACGTTTTCTATGGCTTCAAACGTCTTCGCTAATGCTAGATACGGCACCCTGAAAATATCAACATCAAACGAGGTTGTTTTTTTTCTCTCGACATAGAAGAAGAATGATGTAGGTTACTGACAGCAGGAAAACTTGACCTTCACATTCTAGTTTTAAAGTGGCACGCCTCCAGATGAGCCAAAATAGTTCCAGAAAATTAAACTTGAGAAAAATGAACTAAGAATTTAATAAGAAAAGTAAAAAACATTTAAAGATTCAAGTTATAAATTACACGTTATGTGCCATAAAGAAATAAATTTGCAGTATGTATCACCATATTTATGCCGTGTCACTAACGCAATAAGGGCTATTTTTGCATATTTTGACCTCTTTTTTTTAGTAATTTACGTGGATTGCAAGCGTTGTTTGCAATGTGTAAATTATTTTTCTTGTTCACCTCACAATATCCTATTTCTAAATACGTTTTTAAAATTTTCATAAAAATTAGCATGAATCTGTAGGCATGCTGCTTTTATGTGTATGAAACATTAAATTAACCCTTACCGCCCTAAATATTTTAAATGGACTTGTCCATCTTTCAATATGGACTAAACCATTCACCATTTTTTAGAGAAAATTTCCAAATTTGTACTGACCGAAGACCAAACAGTGCAGACGGATCAGATGTCATAGTTGCATGGTTAAAATCTGTAGCAGCTAGCAGACTGAGAAATTATTAATGCTTTAAAGTGAATTGGTCTATAATGGAATGTCGGAAATATGATAAATAATTATGTTGATAATGTTAATAACATTTACTATCAGACAAAAAAACAAACTGAAAGAATTATTTAATGGATTTTGTTGACAATTGTAAGATACTGTATCATGAGCCTATATTACATATACAGCAGATAATAAAACTGTTCCAGAAAAAAATTATTTTTATTATCATTTAAATATTCATACGTTATCTCATAGAATACTTTTTTCCAAGAACAATTTATAAGAATATCAAAAAAATACATTTCTATTGTTTTTATCAAAATTTGAAATAATTATGGAATTCCACCTGATAGGCTTTCCCTGATAACCAACCAGTTATTACCAATTCACAATTGACCTACTACAAAAACCACATGACTTCTGAATCAGTGGTGACAACTGACCATAAGACCCTATGTCAGAGGTCAATTGTTATAGAAATATGAGCCGCGTCATGACAAAACGAACGTAATGCGTTTGCTACTAGCATGGATCCAGACCAGCCTGCGCATCCGTGCAGTCTGATCAGGATCCATGCTGTTCGCTTACAAACCCTATAACAAGTAGAGAAACTGTTAGCGAACAGCATGGATCCTGATTAGACTGTGCACATGCGCAGGCTGGTCTGGATCCATGCTGGTCGCAAACACACTATGTTGGTTTTGTCATGACACGGCTCATATTATGATCAAACCATTGAGCACTGGATTTCATAATTAGATGATGTTCCTATTGAGCAAATGGGGATGGGATAAGTTTTATCAAGTATATTGAGCTATGTAAGTTTTTCAAACAAATTTTTGTCAGTGATTAAATACATTACTTACTTTTCACCATGTTTCCAACAAGCATCATCTATTGGGTGGTAGTTTGATTTTGTGGGGTTGTAGGTTGAATTTGGCTCCGTCTTCTTTCCCATCATGCTTGCAAATGGATTCACACCACTAAAATAAGAAAAATTTATTCTTTGTAAGTTTACAAATTACTTTAATACTTTTGGGCATAGGGATACATTTCATCTTTATTAGCAGAAGGACGTTACACCTTCCTCCATCTAATGTTTAAGAAATGGGCATACACATCAGAGTAAACCTTTTATTTGTTTGTTTGTTTTATTTTCATGCAGAATTTAATACACGTTCATAAGAAAAGTGTCAATAGATACAATCATGAACGTCCAACTATAACAAAAGATGGCACAAAATGTAAGTTTTACTACGAAAACCATAAAAAACATTAAATATTAAGTTCAACGTTGAACTTATAAACCTAGCTCTAAACTGGTAATTATCTTCCCTAATGCATTAAAGTCTGTGTACATAAATATCACCAAATGACATTTTCTTCCATAAAAAACATGCACATTTTATACAAAAACAGCCAGAAATGTTCTAACTTAGCCAGTATATAGACAGTTATCTCACCTCTTGTATCTTATACCATTAAATCAGATATGCTGACACGTACCATGTGATCATAATTGTCATATTTTGCACATGTTACATAAGAAGAAGGCGTTTTAAGGTAAATTCTACGACAGTAATGATGTAAAAGCAGGAAATCAAGACAGCCTCCTATATTAAAGACAGGGATTGCAACAAAAACATTTTTCATACTCTCAGCACAGTCTAAATGATAACATTTTCTTCTCATATGTAGCACAGTCTAGCTTGAAACATTTCTAAAGACATTAGCAAAGACAATGGCAGATTTACTTATGTATGTCCGAAAATACAGGCAAAATTTTTTCTATACAAACTTTTGATTTATAAGAAGTGTGAAGGCTTTACTTGGTTTATACCATTAACTAGGCCATGAAGTTCACTAGGCAGTTAAGTTAACTAGGTCAATCAGTTAACATGGTGACAGAGTCAGGTCATTCTGTTAACTAGGTCACCCAGTTACCAATTAGGTCATTCTGTTAACAAGGTCATCCCTTTTTATCAAGTTCAATAAGAAGATGGGAGCACCAAGTGAAGCTTTCTATAATTAAGTATTATATTCCAAAAACATCAAGATCATCAAATTAATAGCAGAAGGCAAAAAAGAAAAAGAAAATCCTTTTCAATCTTAAAGCATACAAAACAAAGGTTTCTTAAATTTAGTTTCACCAGATTATCAAATCACTGAAAACGATACTACATTCTGCTTCAACTTCTTTTGAATTTTCCGTCCTGATTAATTACTAGAAAAAACCTAAAATATCAAGTTTGAAAATGGATCACATTTAATTCCACCACTTTTATGGCCTTTCCCCTTTCTTCCATTAGGCCTGAAGAAATTCATTCAGTAACTAATGAACTCCCAAACAAATTCTTTTATATAATCAATATTTTTTGACAGCATAGATTTGTCTAAGTGACATTTTAGCAGGAAATCACTTCCGTTAATCACCAGCAAAGTTCCTTTACAACATTTTAACCACAGACAGAATTAACAAGTAACAAACATGCAAACTATCAGCAAGTTACTTTATTAGCATCAGTCATTTCAGCAACAATCTTACACTTTTTTTTGCTCCCCGATAAGAGACTTTAGATGTATCTCTTACTTTTTAAACAGTTGCTTAATATGGTGAATATAATATATGTATGTTCAAAATAACTCAATCCAAAATAGATAAGGTTTTTATTATAATTATGCTCACAATAACTTGCCATATAATATGTTTACAATTACTTGCTTTTTAACATGTTTATATAATAACTTGCCATATATGTTCACAATATGTCACAATTATGTTCACAAAATGCCATATATGTACACAATTACTTGCCATATAAAATGTTCACAATTACATGCCATATAAAATGTTCACAATTTATTGCCATATAAAATGTACACAATTAATTGCCATATAAAATGTTACCAATGACTTGCCATATAAAATGTACACAAATACTTTTCATACAATATGTTCACAATTACTTGCCATATAATATGTTCACAAATACTTATATAATATGTTCACAATTTCTTGCCATATAATATGTTCACAATAACTTGCATTATAAAATGTACAAAAGTACTTGTCATATAATACAATTACTTGCCATTTAATTTGGTAACAATTACTTAGGGTTTACATGAACAATTGCTGCTGTTAGCTGAGAAAACATGATCATGACCCAAGTAAAAACCAATTATTTGCTACCCAAAACAATGTATGATCATATTGGTGATTTTTTCCTTTGGTTATCTTTTTTTAGAATTCTTATTAAAAAATATGGTTTATCTCAAAACTTTTAATGAAAATTCAAACTAAATTCTGGCTGTCATTGTCCTGGAATAAATACAAAAGTTATATTTTGTATGCCATACATTTGTATTGGAAATTGAAAACTGTCTGTAATACTTAACTTCAATAGCTGAGAATCTGCGACGTCAAGTCTTGATGTTTTATAGAATTACCAATTGATTGACATAAATTTCACGACATAAATTTCACGTAAACGAATGTGGGATGAAACAATTATGATTTCACGTGTGCAAGGTTAATTTCCTTTATTTTTAATAACAATATCTCCATTGAATGTTTAATGCTAGTGAATAACATGAAATTCAACACTCACATGATGTCAGTAGAAATTATTTTAATTTGGATTTATTTGAATGTAAAAAAAAATGCTGACATGGAAAAAAGCAAAATAAAGCACTTTCATAATGCATAACTGAAATTACCAGTTTAATAGTACATTTTCATTTTATATGTATTTATTGCTCAAAGTTGGCCCTTAAAGAAGCACTGTAGCTCCAAGCTTATAAAGAATTAATTTTATTCAATTTTGCAAACATTTTTAATCCTTAACCTGCTACAACTGAGAATAAGTAACTTTTGCCACCAGTTTATATGCCAGAGCTGTCCGGTTAGCTCAATAGGTAAACCTTTGGACTGTGAATTTGGACTGTTCCAAAATTTGAAGCAAGGTAATTCAGCAGCTTAAGGGTTAACAATTAGTTTTGACGATTTTAAGTTTACCTCCGTAAAGTTTTTTTTTTTTTTTTTTTTTTCATGTATTTTTTTTTTTTACTTTAATAACAATTGACCAATACATCAGATTTAGATAAGCAAGTAAAATTATTACTTTGATAAGAAAAACAAATAAATATTTTCTCAAAAATATCACAACCTAAATGGTCAGCCCATGTTTTCAGCATAATTAAGCTCCTTGTCACCTAATGATCTTTATCCTTTGAAGAGAGATGAAACCACATTTCATACATAATAGTATCAAAGGAACACAGTGTACTATTAAGGTAGCCAGGACAATTTGTTAAGATATCTCTGTATATCAAAAACAAGCAGGATAATTCCCCCAGGAGGACTGTAAGCAACACATTTATCAATATTACTTCATTTCTTGTTCATTTCAGACCTGTCTTATATGATGACAGAAGGGACATAACAACTATGTATATACACTGGTACATAGTTTACAGCCACATATCAACAGGAAACAATCTTATAATTCTAGTAAAGATGGTTTTCCTTCAAGTATTTCATGTTCAGTTTGGTTGATAAACATGTATCATGATCGAAACAAAAATCACAGTTAAGCCCACTGTCTTCAACACTTAAAATGATAATTGCTCTCTGTAATGCCTGATTTCAAAACAAAAATAGCTTCCAAAAATATTCATCCAAATGCTTTAAATAAACAGTTAACAATCACCACAAGTGAACAGAATTGGGATAAAAATATTTCTCTTTTTAATTCGGAAGAATAATAATTTCTTAGCCTGCTGGCAGCAATTCCTTAGCACAATAACTGGTTAACTCCTATTAAATTAACAAGGACTTACCCCATTACTGCACTAAGATGACAAATTTATTGTTTTACTCATGGAAGCAGTGCAGACACATATCAGCACACAAATGCATGCCATTTGATCATGGTCTGCACTACTCGCTTAAATAATTCAGGCATGTATAATTTTGAAAATTTCCCTAAAAATGGTGAATGGTTTTGTCCAGACTGAAAGATCTGTTTAAGATAATTGGCAAAATTTTTAAAGAAGCATTCACAAGGACAAAAAATTGGCAAGCAAATTTCATATCACCGCACTGGTTGCATAGGTAAATTTAATTGCAGCTGTCTAAAGTTTAATCTTATTATTCACTATTTCTTAGTAATTACAAAACTTTAAATATATCATCTTAAATAAAAATATCTTTGCACAATTATTCTAGACTTATATCTTCAAAATTTAAACAATGCTGAATAAATTAATCCTTCATTACAAAGGCACAACCAAAAGAAAATTTTCGCATACACCCCCTAGTATTGATTTGTATTTTAGGCACAATGCATTTTTATGGTATTTTCTATTAGTTCAAATGCAATAAATAACTCCTAAACTTTGTTATTAGTTCAAGGGCAATAACTCTTAAAGTTTTCTTTAGTTCAAGGGCAATAACTCATAAACTTTTCAATTAGTTCATGGACAATAACTCCTTAACTACTATGCAGAAGTGATAACAAAATATACAGGCAACATTTCTATTACGGTAAGAAGCTTATTTATGCAAATATTAAAGAATATCTGAAACCATTATATAAATATAGCTTCAGACAGACATTTTCTTAACTATTACAGGGGCAATAACACCTGCAAAAGAATTGCAAAAGATGCATTTTCCCATGTTTGGTAACAAATCAAGATTACTGGATTTAAACACAGAATCTTGCACAAAAAGACAAATTTAGATCAGCAAAACACAGAAAGATGAGAGGAATTCTGTTCCAAGATTTCTAACATTTCAAGAAAAAAGATGTGTTTCTAATAAACACAATGCACTTAATAAATAACAAAATTAATGTGAAATTTTGAGAATCTTAATATTGTACAATATATAGAAAAGAGGAAAATTTATGAGTATTTTAAAAGCATTATTCATGCCCACCAAAAGAAACCCCTCAAAATTAAAATATTGACAATAACTTTAAAGTAAACAACAAAGTTTATATTTTGGTAAGAGTGTAAATTTCTTTATCAGTCCAGCAAATGACATTTTAAGAGTTTTGCTGTTCTGCATTATGTAAAATAATGTCTACTTGTATTACAAAATATGTTTAACGAATTTTAAGCTTTTTTATTTTCTTTTATCTTTTATTTTCTTCCCTTCCCATGCTAAATATTTTAAATGAACTTGACCTACTTACATTGAATTTGAACAAAACTGTTCATCAATTTATAGAAATTTTCAATACATGTACTTAAAGCAACCAGTGCAGACCAAGATCATAGATGTGCCAGCTGATCTCGGTCTGCACTGGCTGCATGGTTCGATTTAATTGCCGCTGACTGGCTAAACTTTTAATCGTTTTTTCCCCCCACTATTTCTTATTAATTACAAAACTTTAAATATAATCATCAACAAGAACTGTCGGAGGACAGTAACGCTCGACTATTCGAAAATTTGTCACAAGGGTGTTTCATTGAGTATAATAATGCTTACCTATATGAATACATAAAATTGTCCGAAAAGGTACAAACCCTTCAGTAGTTATGGAGATACCAGCTTACAAGCAAAAATTTACCTAGAATTTCTAAGTCGAAAAAGGGGAATAATTATGCAAAAAAGCAATCAGAGTTATGGGACTTGTGCCAATCATCTTAGATAATCACAGAGAACAAGTGTGTGAAGTTTCAATACATTCCCTTCAGTAGTTATGGAGATACCAGCTTACACACAAAAACTTAACCAAGAATTTCTGAATCGAAAAAGGGGCATAATTATGCGAAAAAGTAAATCAGAGTTATGGGACTTGTGCCAATCATCTAAGATAATCACAGACAACAAGAGTGTGAAGTTTCAATCCATTCATTTCATTAGTTATGGAGATACAAGGTTACACGCAAAAACTTAACCAAGAATTTCTAAGTCAAAAAAGGGGCATAATTATGTAAAAAAGCAAATCAGAGTTATGGGACTTGTGCCAATCATCTTAGATAATCACAGAGAACAAGTGTGTGAAGTTTCAATCCATTCCCTTCAGTAGTTATGGAGATACCAGCTTACACGCAAAAACTTAACCAAGAATTTCTAAGTCAAAAAAGGGGCATAATTATGCAAAAAAGCAAATCAGAGTTATGGGACTTGTGCCAATCATCTTAGATAATCACAGTAAACAAGTGTGTGAAGTTTCAATCCATTCCCTTCAGTAGTTATGGAGATACCAGCTTACACGCAAAAACTTAACCAAGAATTTTTAAGTCGAAAAAGGGGCATAATTATGTAAAAAAGCAAATCAGAGTTATGGGACTTGTGCCAATCATCTTAGATAATCACAGAGAACAAGTGTGTGAAGTTTCAATCCATTCTCTTCAGTAGTTATGGAGATACCAGCTTACATGCAAAAACTTAACCAAGAATTTCTAAGTCGAAAAAGGGACATAATTATGTAAAAAAGCAAATCAGAGTTATGGGACTTGTGCCAATCACGTAAGATAATCACAGAGAACAAGTGTGTGAAGTTTCAATTCATTCCCTACAATAGTTATGGAGATACCAGCTTACACGCAAAAACTTAACCACAGGGACGCCAATGCCGACAAATGGGTGACTGCATTAGCTCGATTATTCTGCGAATAGTCGAGCTAAAAATAGAAGTATCTTTGCACAATTATTCTATCCATGCATCTTCAAACATTGCTAAATAAAATCAATCCTTCATTAAACTGTCCTAAACCTCTATGTCTTTTTTTACATTATTTCTTCAATGTTTGAAACTTGGGGCAAAAATTATGTTGGACAATTTTGTTATTTAAAATATTGTATTAAAATGTCTCCAATTCCATCTATTTTTACATTACTTCTCTAGCCTGTTCGAAACTGTTGGACATCGAGGTTTATTTAAAATACTGTATTACAATCTATTTTTACATCATTTCTTCAGTGTTTGACGCTGTTGAACAATTTTGCTGCTCAAAATATCGTATTAAAAATGTCTCCACTTTTATCTATTTTTTACATTATTTCTCCAATGTTCGAAACTGTTGGACATCCTTGTTATTTAAACGTCTCCACTTCCATCTATTTTTACATTACTTTTCTAGCCTGTTCGAAACTGTTGGACATCCTTGTTATATAAAATATGATATTGCATTATGCTATTTTAGTTTTGCGTTAATTTAAACAAGCCCGAGGAAGGATTGGAGTGAGACATTTTTCTCGAGCATTATTGGATAGTGTATCAATTGAGTGTAGTTTAAGACACTGAAGTTTATAGCATTATGCTGTATCAATAGCTTCAACCCCATCACAGCTGTTGTTGTTGTTGTTGGTTACTTTTTCAATCATGATGGACTTTTCTACTCTTTTTCATGACAAAATAGTTCTGGATAAATAATAAGGTAAGAAATTAAATTCATTTTTTTATTGAAACAATGTCAACTTTTAGAAATATACACTTGGGAGTATTTATTGCAGCTTTAAAATTAAATCAATTTGTTTTCTGGTGTTTTTTTTTTTCTTAACTGATATTTAAGTTTTCAAAAATCATTTAAATGTAGCTAGTTAATAGGTACTATTATAAATAGTTACTATGTTATCTAGAATAAGACATTAATTTAAAAACATATAAATAAAAACTTTTCTAACAATTGAATGTAAGTTTGATTATGTTTTTTTTTGTTTTTGTTTTTTTCACCATTATTTAACACATTAATTATAACTTAAATGTGCCTTAGATGTGAGGACTTTTTTTACAAGATAAGAGATGTACTTATGTTTAATTAAGGACATTCTAGTAAAATTGTTTTCTATAAAATATAAATTTATTATCATAATTTTACTTCAAGGACAATTGCTAATTATGCTCTGTATTTTTCAAAAATCATTTCTTTAGAAATGGGAAATTCAATTTTGTTACCTTTAAAAGGACTTTTTTTTATATATGTAGTATAGATATGAACCTATTTTAAGGGCAAACAGGTGGAAATTTCCGTTTTAATGTCAATTTTTTCAGTCATATTTCTAAAGGTACAATCCAACCATTTTGTTTAAAATACTGATCAACTTGACACCCCAAAACTGAAAATGTACAAAAATGAAATTTTAAATTTCAGCTTTACTTAACTCTTAAACTGATGAATTGATGTAATGAACTTTTTAACTGAAGTTAAAGTGATTGTGGACTCAAGGACCTGTTTGCACCAAGCTTACTCAGAAAATAGCACAACCTAAAGTTACACTTACATGCAATTTAAAGTTTTAACTATGTTAAATGGTTCATACTTTCGTTATACATATTTATGACAAATCATAAATATTTCTAGACTCCAATGTGATTGACTTTGAAAAAATCATAGATTATACTAGTTTAAAATATGATCATATATGGGAAATCATAGATAATTCTAGACTAAAACATGATCAAATATGGGAAATCATAGATTATTCTAGACTTAAACATGATCAAATATGGGAAATCATAGATTATTCTAGACTTAAACATGATCGATTATGATAAATCATAGAATATGCCAGACTTAAACATGACCAATGATTATGCCAGACTAAAGCATGATAATTTTTGGGGAATCATAGATTATTCTATATCAGAACAAGACCAATTATGGAAAATCCGTATTTTTTCTACATCAAAAATAATCATATTTAAATCAAATTAAAACATTATCAGATAACATAAGTAATCATTAGTAACTCGTATGAAAAAGTATCATTCAGTCACTGACAAAAAGTACAAAGAGAATGTAACTATGCTCTCATTTATGTATGGCAGACAAATCAATTTGAATGTGGTTATAACCTAAGTTATTAAAGACAATCAGAGGGAATTATTCAACTTCCTGGTATCATTATAAACTGTGTGAAGCTCTTACAAATAATTTCTCTCAAATTTACTTCACATAGTTATCTCAAAGACAAAAAAAAACACTTTGACAATAGTCTGTAAAACCAAAGAGATTTGTGTCTTTGTGCATATTCTGGGTGTTCTTATCTTTTCAAGATTGTACTTAGGTAAATAAATATATGGCATGAGCAGGAGTGTTAATTTAGTTCTTTAAAAGGGTAGTACAAGATAAGAATTTCTTATTTTATCTAAGAAATGAATAATTAAACTGGCAATATGAATAGCATCAACAAACAATCTGTTCCTGAGGTTAATCTGGAAGTATTAAGAATCAAACTTGTGAATCCAGGGTCTTGAATATTTTTTTAACTTGACCAATTCACATCCGCATCTATGTAAAGGACCTGTTGGGCAGTGTTCTATTCTATATTTGTTATCTTTTGAATTTAGTTTGTTTTAAATTTTGTCTGTTCTGAATTTGGTCAGTTCTGAATTGTAAAATATGGTTTGTTCTGAATTTGGTCTGTTCTGAATTTTAAATATGGTCTGTTCTGAATATGGTCTGTTCTGAATTTTAAATATGGTCTGTTCTGAATATGGTCTGTTCTGAATTTTAAATATGGTCTTTTCTGAATTTTGGAACAAAACACAGACTGTTTAAAGGATCAAAGTATCAAAGTACTAAAATTCAGCTGCCAATGGTACAGTCTGGCGAAACTGAAATGTGCTGGCAATAAACTGGTGACACAAAACAGTAATATTATAACTGCTAGCATTCAAAGTAAGAAATTCATTTTGAAACTGGTTCTAACTGGATCCAATAAAATAATTTTCTTTGTCAAATTACTGGAAAAGTAATTGTATAATATTAGAACAGTAAACATAGATCTTTTCAATTACTTCCTTATCTAAAAGGGACGCAAGACAAAACTATTAATATTTCGACAAAATCTTCGCCAGAAAATGATATAATTAAAGAAAATTCTGATATATATATAAAACTTTACATTTGGGATATACATAAATATATGTATGTAATAAATTTTATCAAATGCAACAATTCCTGATACAAATCATTCCAAATTTAGTGTTATTCCTTTAAAACCTGCAAAGTTTTCAAGCGGCTGATTAAACAAGAGTAGCGTTATCAACTATCTCTGATCGTAGGACCGACTATTGATTCAATCAATGATATAATAAAATTTGGGAACCGCAATGCATTTATTTTTGTCAATCGTACCCAGGCCAAAATAATGATATCACTTTAACTACAGTTTGGAGAATTCATGCAAAAACTAGAGGCCAATGGCCATGTGTCACAATACAAGATCTTGAGCGTAAGAGATTTCGGCAATCAAATACAGGGAGTTTACTGCTTTGCGATATGACAATTTCACCGATTATGAAATTTTGATATGTAACAGGAATCCACGAAACACAATTTTTTCCTTTTATCAATACAAATTCACTAATTAAAAAAAAACTTAGATTAAGGAGTCCATAAAAGGCATAATCATTTTAAATTTAATGGAAGTTTAGTTTGGTACAAGAATTTTCCAAACAGATTTTACTCTAGCCAATAGGAAGAAGCTAGTTTTTGGTACAGAATTTGGCCTATTCCTCCATAATATTTTTCACCCTTTGGATTTCAGGTGCAAAATAGACTTTCCAATACAACTAGTCTTGAGCAAGGCAAGCCAGCATATCTTTAGATGCTATCCCACTCGGCTTTGCAATGTTGATGCTTTTGAAACTGAAATCTTTGACAATAATAATAGACAAGAAAAGCACATTCATTATACAAATTAACATTGTTTCTTTTACAAGGGATTTTAACCATTATAGCAGCTGTTTCTATACCTAAATACAGTAAATTCCCCTTATTAACGATTTTCAGGGGACACCATAATTATTTATCATTATATCCGGATATTGTTATATCCGAGAGGCAATATATTTTAAAACAAAAGTTGGAACAATGAGCTTGGTATATTGTTTTAAGTTATATCGGTTTAAGTGGAGTTTACTGTATTTGAAATAATATAGTCAAATTTTTCTGTTTTTGACATAAAAAGGTAAACTTCATTGACAGATTTTGAAAATATATTCTTTATTCAGTAGGTGTATGGCCCATCCACAGGTTTGACTGTAAAGTCAAATAATCTTCAAATATCTGAAACAATGAATTTGACACCTGGGGGATACAAAACAACCGACACTGCTCACCAGTTGTAACTACTTCAATTCTTTTTACATCACTTGTCACCCAATTTTCAGTCCTTACAATACAAACTCCAGCAAGTTTCTCAGAAATGATTTTTATTGAACTATCAATCTGCAAAACAAATCCTTCACGTCTCTGACCTAATATCCCCGGGGCACCCATCAACACGTAGCAAATAATCAAATAAGGCAATAAACAGAAACTTAACTCTTCAAATACACATATAGGAGAATTATAAAAGCATCATGTAATCAGACAGAGCCATTAGTATCTCCTGTCAATACAATATTTGTCTGTTGTATACCCTGACACTGCTGAATTTACGCAATGGACTTGCTCAGCATTCAATTAGGATCAGTTCATTTGAATTTTTAAGGTATTTCAACATCATGAAAATGCAAAAATTAAAAGCCCATTACGCCCCAAGAAATGCTTTAATTCTCATTTCTTAAAAAGTTTTATTATTTTTGGTGTACTTTCATATTTTCCAAAAATTATTCATTGGCCATCTTTTTCCTTCTGTTGCTTTTTTGTTTTATTTAGTTCATTTAAAGTGATTAAGTATTTTGTATGGATGTCAAAATACTAATTTGTTTTACATTTTGCTACTTTAATGACATATAAATTCATATTTGAAGTTAGTTTCTTCAGGTGATAAGTATCTAAAATGCTCTAAAATCATTATTTAAATGTTATAAAGCTCATGTTTGCCCTTAATAAAAAATGAAAAAAAAAAATTTCTAAGGCATAATGTACCTTTAAGCTACAAACAGTATAGAGCCTGGTCAGACAGCACCCACATAAAGGCTGGCCTGGCTATATAATGGTGACAAAGGCTAATAATCACTCTGTTCCAGCAAATTAAGTGTTATTAAAACCAGTCAGCTGTTTATCAAAGGTCTATTAATCTTGCAAAACATTTGATTGAAAAGAGACCAGACAGTATAACTGGTCTCTCTTGAAAACTTTGGAATACCAATTTCAATTTTATTAGATAAAATCCTATGGGGACCTTTTCTTCACTTTATTTTCAAAGAATGTTAGTACAAATTGACAGTGCAGATGAAAGTGTATACTATCCAGAACATGCAAAGTGAATGTTTTGACAATCTGGAGGTAGTTTTATATAATTACAGCAATAATGGTAACAAGGCATAATGCTAAAAACAATATTTTACTAAAATGCACGAGTGTCAGAAGAAAACAGAATATATTTTATATATTAAAGCTCTCAAAAGCATTTTATATTTAACTGCATTTCATTCAGAGATATTAACACACACACACAAATTGAGCACTGATGAATAAAATAA